AGGCGCCTTGCCACCAACATTCTTTTTGCTTTTCTGGCAGACATCACAACTTTCGCAGTAACGCCTGATATCCTCCCCTGCCCCTGGCCAGCTAAATTGTGACAGAATTCTGGCTTTCGTTCTTGCTACACCCATGTGCCCCGCCATAGGTGTGTCGTGTCCTAATTTCAGGATGGTGGGCCTAAGTCCCCTTGGGATTGCTAGTCTAATCTGATCTTCTGTTTTGCTGTGTTTTATTATCTTATATAATAACCCATCTATCCTTTACATTGTTTGCCCTTTTCCGCGAGCTTCCACCACCTAGCTAATGTTTTGTCTTCGCTCTGTTGCGTTTTAAAATCTTTCGATGTCGTTATTTGGTCTAAAATCTTATGCCCCGGCTCATTTTCTCTGGTTGCCCCCTGCTCTAAGTTGTACTCTGGTTTCTACCGCCGCTAATGTTAGCGAATCTTCCCTCGGTAATTTCGCGCCTGCTACATTCCCTATTATAAGTTCAGCGGGTGGATCATCTAAAAGGACGGCAAAGAACTCTCCCGTAAGGTATGGTGTTTCTATGTTGACTACAGCTCCTGGTACTCTTTTCTTATCTCCATCCGCGGTCTTTATGGTTATCCATTCTTTTGTCCATCTATTTCTTGGGACTAGAGCTTTTCGACAAGCTACGACTACAGAGCCCGTATCCCGTAGGACGGTCACCGTCCTCCCATCCAGTATTCCTGCAACTATAGGAAGTGAACCTCTGTCGCTTATGAATCTCCGATTAGCTCCAATGTTCCCTACAGGGACAGCGCCCTTTACTTGACTTAGGCATTGTCCACAGTCGCCGCACTCCCCGCTGAACTCTGGTACTAGTCATATGTCTTGAATGTCCCTGAAGCCTACCCTTCTCCCTCTGTACTCATGTCCAATTTGTCTACGATTGGACCGGCACCCCGCCGCTATGTGCCCCTCAGCCCCACAGTTAAAGCATGTGATTGGGCGTCTTCTGGGACTATTATTACTACTCGGCCTAGGTTGGACCGGGCTTTGTCCTCTTCTCTTCCGTTGAAGGGTGACTTCATTTCTTGTGCCCCATTCCTCTCTAATGGGGCTCTTAGATCTAGGTCTTAGGGTTCGTTTGTCCTTGTCCTCTCTAAAGGGATTCCTAGATCCTGATGCAAGTGCCATGGGGGCAACAAATGCGTCCTCTGTCACGTCGATCGGTTTTAATTTTCTGTCTGGGTAGATGTCAAAGTAGTTGTCACAGGCATTTTCTACGTCTGCTATTGTCCTCGGGTTTTGCCTGAGGATGTGCTGTCTTACATCTTGTCCGACTGTTCTCTCTATTTTGTCTTTTAAGAGTAAATCAACAGTCCGTCAAATGTTTTGTCACACTTGCTAGCTTCGACCCATCTTCTCAAGTAGTGTCGTACCCTCCTAATGTAACTCCCTGCTCTATCTTGTTCTGATGGTTGGGCGCTATTAAACTTATCACTGTATCCTTGCTCCGTCAAACCAAAGTGTTTTAGGACCTCCCTTTTCAGCTTCCCATAATTCTCTTCGGCTCCCAATTCTGTTAACCACGATTCGCAGCCTATATCTAGCAGAACTTTCCTAAACTCGTGGCACCAAAACTTATCTTCTAAACCTATTTCTCGGGCTTCCCTTTCAAAAATGTCAACCACCACCTCCATATCTGTTTGGTCCCTACTGTTTCTCAGTCCAGTCAGCTTAATTCTTGGGGTCTGTGCCCTACCCCTGCCCTTTATGTCTTCCTCCCTGTTCCCCTTCTCCATTGCTAGTTCCAGCTCCTTCAATTTTAGTCTTTCTTCTGATTCGATTTTAGACCTAGTTAGTGCCCTGTCTGCAGCCCTCTCGTCCCTTTCAGCCTGCTGCCTAGCCTTAGCCTCCGCCTCTAACAATTTAGCCTCAGCCCATTCCAACAGCTCCCTTCCCTCTAGTTTACATCTTTCCCCTAACGCTATAAAATGCTCTAGCGTTAAGCCTTTGCTAGCCATCTCACCTTATCAAAATTGTAATACCCAATACAGTGTTAGCCAAAGGGTAATCCCCGGTTGCGAGTACCGTGCCCAAGACTAATTCAAAAACACTTACCTCAAATACAAATCTGTTGTAGTAGTCCGTCCCCTACTTTAGCCCTTCGAAACAATGGTAAATCCTGTAATGGCCGGGTCATGTGAAGACAAAGACCTGGATCGACAAAGACAAAAGTCCTGTGACGGCAAGGCTCTGTGCTGGTAAGGTCCAAGGATGGTTGAGTCCAGTGATAGCGACTTTCTGTTCTGATAAAGTCCAAGGATGGTAGAATCCCGTGATGGCGACTTTCTGTTCTGATGAAGTCCAAAGATGGTAGAACCCAGTGATGGCGACTTTCTGTTCTGGTAAGGTCTCAGGATGGTGACGTCTAGTGGTGGTGACGTCCAGTGGTAATGACGTTCTGATTGCGACTTTCTGTTCAGGTAAGGTCCCAGGATGGTATAGTCCAGTGATGATGACGTCTAGTGATGGTGACGTCTAGCGATGGTGACGTCTAGTGGTGGTGACGTCCAGTGGTGGTGACGTCCAGTGGTAATGACGTTCTGATTGCGACTTTCTGTTCAGGTAAGGTCCCAGGATGGTATAGTCCAGTGATGATGACGTCTAGTGATGGTGACGTCTAGCGATGGTGACGTCTAGTGATGGTGACTCCCAGTGGTACTGACGTTCTGATGGTCCCAGGATGGTATAGTCCAGTGATGATGACGTCTAGTAATGGTGACGTCTAGTGATGGTGACATCCAGTGGTACTGACGTTCTGATGGTCCCAGGATGGTATAGTCCAGTGGTGATTACGTCTAGTGATGGTGACGTCTAGCGATGGTGACGTCTAGTGATGGTGACATCCAGTGGTAATGACGTTCTGATGATTGCGCTATCTTTACTTTAATACTGGCCACCAGTTGTTACGTCCGGGTTAGATTCGAATTCAAGAACGACTCGGGTTAACGTTCGATACGTTTATTAGGTCTCACATAACACATTACAACATAGCCCTCGACCTAACCCTGCCAACTAACTAACCCCTGACAACCATTCACTCCAGCTTTTATACCGCATTCGACCTTGGGATAACAATACACAAACACACCGGGGTTAACAATATTCTAGGGTAAACTCAACTCACACACTCACTCTCCCCTAATTCTAGATCATTCTATCCTATTCTAGTCTAACCTACAACTGACCCGTAAAATCACGCTTAACAATTCTGCCGGTAACTTAAGTAACGTGTGAAAATGTAACCTCCTCGGCACTCTTGAATAACAAAGTAGCAAAGAGTTTAGTTCTGTATAAACAAATAATTTCTAAAATAAAACACAGTAGCAAAACGTGTAATTCTGTATAAACAAATAGTTTCTAAAGTAAACCTGTATATAATAGTGCGTGGTGCAGGCACTAAGTTTTAAATACTCGGTGTATGTTGGTTACATAGCTTTCAGTGTATGATAGCAATACTCTTTGTTGATACATATAACGTTGAATGAAATTTTATATGTAGGGTTTCTACTTTCTGCCTATTAGAATTACCATATAATTGTCATTGCTATGATGATTACATTTACACCCGTAATATATTGGAAATCATATCCCCATCAGGCATATTGCTTCAGCTGAAAGTATTGAACAGATTAGCTTTTCATTAGCCTTGTGTCACACTGTACGTAGAGGCTGCTTAAATTTAAATATAACTTAATTGATTTTTAAGCTAATTACAACATAATTGATTGTATCCACACGATTTAAACATTGATTTCACGATAAGGACAACTTTTGATGGCTGATAGCTTATAAAATTACATCGCTTTACCTACTAATTTGCAACAATATTCTTCAACAACCTGAAACAAGTTGTCAATTTTCCATGCATATTTCTAAAGGGTGTATTGTTTGTTCTCGTTTTACCTACTGGGTACTTTAAAGAAATCATGTAAACATACTAGGCAAATAAGCCCCCATTAAGACCTCTACCCCTCTGCTTAAATACTATTATAATCACGGTTAGTATGTACAAAAATAATTCATAGAATATTCTGTGTGATAAATTCCAACTTAGTTTAACGGGTTGTTGTGTATGAAATGTATGTAGCAGTGGTTAACTGTTATCCTCATTGTCATAAATTTAATACATTGAATTTCATTTTCTAATTGGTACAATCTAAATTTGGCGTGGCCTAGCTGTAAAACGATAGACTGCTAACCCAAAAAGTCTCAAGTTTAAATCCGGGTTCAAGTCAGTTGGCGGCTGACTCCACTATGTATAGTGGCACCAAGTGTTTCTTACAGTCTTCTCTGTTGAAACACGAAGCACACCTGGTTTATCCTCACGCCGAATAGTTGATTCCTCACGCCGAATAGTTGATTCCTCACGCCGAATAGTTGATTCTTCACGCCGAATAGTTGACTCCTCACGCCGAATAGTTGATTCCTTACGCCGAATAGTTGACTCCTCACGCCGAATAGTTGATTCCTCACGCCGAATAGTTGACTGATGCCGAGACTACTAGAGCAGTATATTCTACATACCAGTAGCGTTAATATGTATATGTCGGATCGCGCTATACAGATGTCAAGTGGGATGGAATAATCTCGCCCAGGCTTGGGCAATCCTCACCATGTGAGACTGAGCTAATCAAATTTAGATAAATCTAGACCAAACTAGCAGTCCTGGTAGTACGAGACTAAGCTAGACCAGATTTTGATAGCCCAAGCTTGACTTTCAATAGCCAGACTGATAACATCGTTATTGTCGTGACAGGAATGTTTTAAGTATTAAAAAAAAACACTATTTTTAAAGCTAACAGTAAGTTGTTAAATTATACAATTCACAAAGTGTAATGTTTGAGAAAATCATGACGCAGCCGGTGATAACAGGTTATGTGTACATCTACGAGTCACCTGATCAATATTGCTAATTAACGAATCAATGAGCTAATTACCAGCTACGGTCATGTTATAAAAAACCTTATAAGACTGCATATGCAACATCTCACCTAAGCTACCTTAGTCTGTACAAAGATGCAGACCGTACTCGTTACGTTGTTGGCAGTTTTAGCTGCGCTGACCACAGCAAATTATGAAGAATGTATGTATTTAAGTATTAGTCTTAAATAATAACATTAACGTGTATATATACCTGTTTATGATTCCAAAATTAAATTTTCTAAATTTATAAATTTCTTAGCTCATAATTATTATTTGTATTCCTTCAAAAGAATATATAAGTTTAATTTTTCGGCAAGATAAGCTTTTAAAATATAAACCCAGTTAATTATTTAGTAAACACAGCTATATATTCGACACATTATATGTTTAAAAACTTTAATTCTTGACTCTACCGGTAAACAAAGTAATATTTTTGGAAAGTTAAATCTTTAAAAAAAATTTTTTCAATCCAAACGGTAAACAAGATAATATTTTCGGCAAGTTAAATCTTTAAAAAAAATATGTTTACCCCAATAGTAAACTATGTAATATTTTCTACAAGTTATAGATTAAAATAATATGTCCCGCTTATTAAAAGTTATTAACGTTATACTTTCGTCAGTTTGAATATTACAGCAAGGTATCCTGCTGTATTTTCGCAGATATAAAACTACACAAATAGGCCTATATCCCCTTGTATTTTCGCCGATTTAAATACTACTCAAATAGGCATACTATCCCGTTGTATTTTTGCCGATATAAATACTACACAAATCTATCCCGTTTTGTAAACAGCAAACAAGGTGTGTTACCCAGACATCGGGTGTTTTTCTAACGATCCCCCTTTCAACATGAGGAATTTGGAGCGACCTTTCTTGGACCTTCCAGAGTCACCTGACGTTATCGGGTAATTTACCAATCTTGAATTTATTTATTTTCTATTCAATTGCGTGTTGTGACTTTTAAATATCTTATAAACACAGATGAAACACATTCTGTAAAATAGAATATATTGAAATTAAGGAATATAAGCTCATTAAGGTTGAAACAAAATTGTATTACGTCAGTTGTATTTAGATTGAATGTTGTAGAGCATAATTAATTAAACTTATTCCATGAGCTTTTTAATGCTCGTGCTAAGTTTTGTATTTAGGGTAGTTTCTAAATGTAGGAAAAACATTAAGTTATCGTCTTACGGTAGATGCTACTAAAGATGCTGCTTATTTCTTTAATTTAGTTACATTTTAATCTCTGTTTTCTTTGCTATCCCCAGCCCTAACATTTACCCCCATTCCTCACCCTAACCACTAACTTAGATTAAATTATATTATTTATGCCCTTTGCACTACAAATTATTTTTTTTAAACGCATCACAACTGTACAACTATGTACAGATATTTTTTTTGTTTTTTCTCAGTACATTTTGTATTATTGCAGAGGAAATACGCAAGGTGCTTATATCCTATCATATTCTGTCGAGGAATTAAACATTGCTTGTTTCCCCTCAACTGCAAAAGGGCTATGTATTCTCAGGATATGATAGAATATATGCCTACGTACCTTAAGTATTTCCTCTACGGTTTTGACGAAATAAGCAGTGTCACATCTGTTACAGCACCCAGTTCCAGCTGTTTTCCCGAGAGCAGAAAACCGAAGAGAAAGTTCTGGATGCCAGAAAAGTAGCAGACGTCAAAGTTGTCTGGGAAAATTTAACCCGCCGGCCCGTAAAGTTTATAGTGCACGGGTTTTTGGACAAGACAAACAGCACGTCATGGATAAAGGTAAACACGACACCTTTTTCTGCAATCAGTTTGTTGAGTTAAAACATGTCAAATTTTACCGTGTCGATGTTGTAGACACGGGTGCTTGTTCATGCTTTGTCTATTGAGTTAATAACACTGAGCACTAAGAGACTTAGTAGAATGTGTTCGTGTCAGTAGAGTCTTAAAGTGGGGGTGTGGGAAACTGTTAGCGCCTTGTGGCATTAAATAGTTGGGGGAGGGAGGGGGTGACACCAGTTTGGAAAAACGTAAAGGTACTATTAAACCAATGTTTTATCCAAAAGTATAAAGGTATAAATGTATAACGGTATAAAGGAATAAAAGGTATAAATGTATAAAGAAATAGTGGGTAAGGATGAACTATAACCGAAAATGTAAAATGATGGATAAGGTTGAGATGATAACCTCAGTTTCCTCATTAGATGACAACCGATGTAATAACACTATTGACTACTGCTCCATCATGCTCCGTCATTACAATAATTTAACGTCCGAGTCTATTTAAACTGCTGGGTAAAACTTATCATAATTTCACCATTCCATAAAAAATTGTGTTCACATTTCAGGACATGAAAGACGAGCTGCTTGTCCAGGGCGATTACCACGTGATTGTCGTGGCCTGGGACGGGGGAAACAGATTCCCTTACGGTGTGGCAGCGGCGAATACTAGGGTGGTTGGCGCACAGATTGCTTTCTTGATCAACGCACTTATTGTACGTTAACTTTTTTTTTTATCAACGCCCCTATGGTACTTTAACTTTCTTTTATAAACGCCCTTATGGCGCAATAGCTTTCTTTTATCAAAGCCCTTATGGTTCAGTAGCTTTCTTGATCAACGCCCTTATGGTACAGTAGCTTTCTTGATCAACGCCCTTATAGTACAGTAGCTTTCTTGATCAACGCCCTTATGGTACAGTAGCTTTTTTTATCAACGCTATTATGTTAAAGTAACTTTCTCGACAAAAAGCCTCACTCATTTGTGTTAGGCCTTTGGGATATCCCATTAATGTGTAAATATTCTATTGAAAACTACAAGCGCGATGTTTGAATTAAACGTCTGATTTTCCTCTCTAGAAGGAGCATGGCTTCCAGGCAGGTGATTTCCACATCATCGGCCACAGCCTGGGTGCTCACATAGCAGGTTATGCTGGTCAACTGGTGCCTGGCCTGGCCAGAATCTCGGGTAAGGTATGCAGGTATAGGAGAAACATATTGTTTCAGAATGGTGATACATATGTACATATAAGCTATATGTCCATATGAACATAACGTCTTACAAAAAGGCTGTTGATTTTATGTAGTAGGCCTTATATACTGTAACGCAAACTTTTCTACACAGGATTAAGTCCAGCCGGCCTATATTTTGTAAATATTGACCCTAGCATTTGTCCATACAGGACTAAGTCCAGCCGGCCCATATTTTGTAAACACTGACCCTAAAATTAGCCTGGATCCGAGTGACGCCAAGTTTGTGGATGTTATACACACGGATGACAAATCCATCTTTCAGTTCAGTATGTTCCTTCATTCATTTTTCAGTTTTTAACTTGAGTTATTAACAATTCTATTAAAAGAAATAATTTAAAAAATTATAAGATAATTTTCATTATATAATTTTAAAATATGGTACCGATTTATGGACATTGAAATAAAACGTCGATAATGAACTAAAAAAAAAGGATTTTAAATTTTATTTTAGGTTTTGGTATGAGCCAGGCTGTCGGCCATCTTGATTTCTACCCTAATTTCGGCCACGACCAACCCGGATGTGATAAAAGTTTGTTTACAGACATCAAGCAATATGGCCTCATTGACGGTACATTTTGGAGCAAAATTTTAGATCTGTTACCGTCGCTGATGAAATATTATTAACTCTTTCTCATTACTTTCGCTAAACATATTCTAAAACATTTCTCACCATTCATATGTTTTAGGTGTAATTGAAAAAATAGCTTGCAGTCATGAAAGGGCCATTACTCTCTACACTGAGAGCATTAACGCGAGGTGCCCGTTCCTGGCCTACCAGTGCAATAGTTCTGACGAGTTCTCTGTAAGTAGCCGCTGGAATACCACTGAAAACACAAGAGTTACTGCTAGCAGGGGTGGACGGGCCCGCTGTTTTACCGGGAAAAAACCTCCAGAAATGGTGTTGTTATAGTGCTATTAGTGCTATGGTTTAAAAAAAACCAATTTGTTGGTATTTCTACATTTTACCATTTCTATTTCTCATATCAAGACGTACATTACAGGTTTTGATGGCCGAAAAATACATAATGAAAATTCAATGTGGGGTTAGTGGGCTCCTTGTAAAATTTCCCGGGCCATGTGAACACAGCCAGTCCACCCTGACTAGAATTATAACTTAGAAACACATGTGACATAGTATTCCAATGTTGAGATGTTTGTCAATTACTAAAGATCTGTTGTGTTGCTACAACACACAAAAGCCAGTCCCCCTACCGTGGTACACACCAACAAACAGCTTTTTCTACCCCCTCATCCCCTGGATGCTGCTTCTTTATCACACAACAAACAGCTGTATCTACTCACTCATGCACTGAATCCTGCTTCGTATTCACACCAACAAACAGCTTTCTCTACTCACACATCCACTACACCAACACTACACCCAGAGCCTTATCCGATTTACCCATATTAAAATTATAAACATCAACCAAACTAATGCCAAATATTAAACCCTCTATCCACCACACAAGTGACTTGTGCTCACATTGTCATGTCTTATAACTTCCATTAGAGCCGACTTGTGTTCACATTGTCTTGTCTTTCAACCTCTAATAGAACGGCATCTGTAGATCGTGTGAGAAAGGCAACTGTGCTTTCATGGGCTTCAACGCTAACGAGATTAAATTATCAGCGGGAGAAAGAAGGACATACTACCTTACAACATCTGGACAGCCACCTTTTTGTCGTTAGTACATTTCGTCAATAGAAAAGCATTCTTTTTGTTATGTCTACAATTAATTTTTCTTTAAGTTTAAGATTTATGTAATTTCAGTATGTTGTTCGTTTTGTAACTATTATATTTATTAAAACAACTAAGGGCAAATATGTGAGCCATAAAGAAATGTAAGTTTAAATTATCTTAAATCTAGAGTACCACAATGAAATTACCATCAAAGTAAATAAAGACGGAAACAGTGAGAAAGGTATCCTAACGGCCGTGCTAGAAGGTGAAAAATTAAAATCACAAAACACCAAACTCAGCACTGAGTAAGTAAACTTATTTTTTTTACTATCTGGGCTTGTTGGGTGTTTGATATTATCTATTTCAATATTTGCCAAAGTACCCATATTAATTGTAATATTTTGCACGAAAACATTAGCTATTTCATTTATTGGTTGTATAGCTATGTCTACCTCTGTTTTTATGTCTGTTTCAATAGCTATATCTAAAGTATTGTATATTTGTATAGCTACAACTACATCAATATTTGAATAGTTATATCTACATCAATGTTGGTTTGACTCGTCATAATAATAACAATGTTTGTTTGACTCGTCATAACGATATGAAAGTTTGTTTAAAGTCCCCACGTCTACTCCAGTGGTTGGCATTGATAAGATTTCCTGTCTCACAGTAACGTAAGTCTAGAACCAGGCAAAGAGTACCGCTTCAGTCTGCCCACTGCCAGTGATCTTGGAGAAATCAAATCTGTGACCATTGGCTGGACATCGTCGAGCTGGTTTGGATTCTTTAAGCACCCCATCTCAGTTGATGAGGTCAAGATATACCGTGCTGAGAATGACGCCAGGTAAACTCTTTCCTCACCTAACTTGCACTTGCTTTTGTGTAACAAACTCGTCATTTTATAGCACTGACTTTGATGTAACATGAGATCAGCCAATATTTTAATTTTCTCTCTATACATTCCTGTACATTCAATTGTAGATGAAGTGACCAATATGTTTCATATTTCAGCATTCGTTTCTGTGCTGAGGGACAGGTCATTCAGTCAGATGAATCCTTCAAGTTCTCAGATGAATGTGCTAAAGATGATTAGTCAGAATTATTATAACACTTTAAATGCTTACTTTCATTGTTTTGATGGCTGAATAAATATTCAAACAAGCTGAAAGCGTTTTTCTATTTGTTTATGTTCGTAGTAGACTTTTGTTAGAGAATATAAATTAGATGTAATTAACCTCATTTTAAACTCTTTATTGATTACATAGTTATAGAGAGAATGTATTGGTCATTTTGAGGAAAAAAATCTGTAAAAGTAAAATATTTAGTTACAGTAATTGGATATGGGAAAACATTTACTTGCAATCAAAATTGTCAAATAATGATAAAATGCTAATAAAACTAAAATAAGTTTTTAATCTCTGCTTTCAATGTATTGATCATATACGTTACCATAACAACTATTTTTATCTGACCCAACTATAACTTTTTCACCAAGGGCTAGAGTTGCGTTTATCTTTCTTTTTAGTAACATAAAATACTTAGAATTACAGAACTGGATTAAAAAATAAATGATTTTTTGGATCCTGACCTACACAAAAAAAAATTGTCTGTACTTCAAATCGTATTTAACAATACAATGCTGTACAACACTGCCTACACTGGGTTACTAGTTAATAACAGGAGAACAGTCACTGAAGCTAGCATTGATGAGAATACTTTTGCATCTATCTACCATAACAGATACAAAGCACAGATACAAAGATACAGACTGCACTCCTTCAAAAAAATTTCCGGGGGGGGGGGACTGTTAAAAGTATAAATTTTCAATATAAATTCCATTTCGTTTGTAGGGGGGGGGGGGGGGGGGCGATAGACTTACCTTAAATATTGCAATATGCAATGGTGTGTTAATTTTCTACAAGAAAAAGTGTGTATTCAATGTTTTTGCCGAAGGGAAGTAAGAAGGAAATTACTTTGCTTTTTTGCTTTGAAAAGTTGCGTTTCTTTTCTTTTTAAATCTTAAAATATGGTCGGTATTTTGGAGTTGCTTTTGATTTGCCAGTTATATGAATGAAAATTTTTCTAATTAAATGGAAGTAACAACAGTGGCGTCGCTAGGTCAAGAAAAAAAAGTATATATATATATATATATATATATATATATATATATATATATATATATATATATATATATGTGTGTGTGTGTGTGTGTATGTGTGTGTGTATTGGCCTACATAGGCTTATAATTTAACTATAATTTAAATATATGCCACATACGGGTACATGTATGTGTATAACCTTTAATCACTGCAGATTTAATAATAATGATGCTAATAATACAATCTTTATAGTTAGCATGTTTACTCCCTGGTGTCACCCCCCCCCCCCCCCCCCCCACACACACACCCTCTTGTAATAATTGTCGATTTGTACTTAAAAGACTATTTAACTTTAATTAATCACTAAAGGATCTGGCAAAAGGGCATTTTTCTTCTCTACATTTTGCAATATTTTGGCTTGGTGTCACACCCCCCCCCCTAAATGGTGTCACCTATTGCGGTCCGCAACCTCGGCCCCGCCCTCTCTACGCCTCTAAGTAACAATGAAATTTCTTCTTTTATTACATTGTTAAGAGATTCATTTCCTATTAACACTTTTATTAATAACGGTTTAAAATCTTGAGGGAACAGGCGGGGTCAGGCGTGATTTGAGCGGGAAAGCTAACCCCAAACGTCTCTAGCTCAAACCCAGTAAAGATGAGTCCCTTTAGCAATCCGTCCAGGAGAAAAACACTTAAAAACATTTTCAAAAATTAATTTTCAGATTTTTATTAAATCGTAATATTTTTAAAATTTTAATTATAAAACTAAAATAATGCATTAAATTTATAAAATCTTTGCCATCAATGTAGTTCCTGTTGGAGAATGTGAAGTCTTAAACTGTAGGCCTATCTGTATTAATTTTAATCTAAATAGTTATCTAAATGAGAAAAAATATTTTTTACCTTCTTAAATACACTTTGAGATTGAGATTTTGATCTGAGATATTTTATTTTTAAAAAAGCAGGTTCCTTGTCCATTTTATTACAAGCTTTTATTTAACTCACTTCCTCTGTCTGTCTGTCTATCTGTCTAGATCGAAACGCCGGAGCGAAAATTCGGGCAGTTCTACTTAACCGATACGATTCACAGTTGGCACGTGGGTCAAGACATGAAGACAATGCAATCTGAAACAAAATTTGACTTAATTGGATGCCTAATTATTTTTATGAATTAATTAAAATTTGGACCGAATTAGTAGGCATGTCTATCCAACCACACCACACGCGTCATCACGTTCAATAGCTGCGCCATCAGGTTCAATAGCTGTGCCATCACGTTCAATAGACGCGCAATGGTTTTTAGTCATGTAAGTTTTTAGTCATGTAACACTATTGTAAATAAAACATGTAAAGTACTGAAAAAAAATTCATAAAAAAAGTTTTAATAACAAGCTTTTATGTACTAATGCACTAAAAAGTAGAAAATAAATTATACACTACTATTTAAATTACTATCAAGAAAAGCGTGAGTCTCTTTTCAAATATTAGTAAAGGTATCCAATAGGTACTAAAGTACTAAAGTGACTCACGCTTTTCTTTATAGTCATTTAAATATTAATGTATAATTTTTTTTCTACTTTTTAGTGCATTAGTACATAAAAGCTTGTTATTAAAACGTTTTTTATGAATTTTGTATCTCTCTCTCTCTCTCTCTCTCTCTCTCTCTCTCTCTCTCTCTGTCTGTCTCTATTTCAAGCAGTCTTTAAAGTAATTTTGACGATTAGAATCGGCATACCCCAGTATCGTTCCGTAGCTATCATCCTAATTTATAGAATTCTAGAGCCCCCAGCCTCAACTCTCTATTTATAATACTTCTTCTATGTTCTTAATTGAGGCCATTTGAGCCTGCATTTCTTTTTGAATTTGTCCAACCAAGAACAAACTACAAGTCAGAAGTTGTTTGATTTTTGAGTGACTGTCCCCTGCTAACGAGCCTCATTTGCCCGAGGGTTCGAACTCGATACTTTCGGTTTAGCAGCCATGTAATTTATACATACAGTTAAAACATTTTAAAATTTACATAAATATGGTATGTTTTTACAAATGTTGTTTATTGACAAATTTGTCAGTTGCCGCTTGTGTATGATGTGTGTGTATGCGTGTGTGAGTGTGTGTGTATGCGTGTGTATGCGTGTGTGTGTGGGGGTGTATTTGTATGTGTGTGATTGCTTGTGTATGTGTTACGAATTCGTGATGTTTTAAGTGCATAAAAATGCGTTTCCCTCCAACTCTTCAGAAAAACATGCTTTGTATTTTCAGTTAAGCGGCTTAATCATCTTCCTAGTTTAAAATTGACATGTCGATGTATTTAACTGTGACATGTATTACAAATAAATTGGCCTACTTGTTCCACATTATATCAAATGTGCCATCATTTTAAAGATTACATTTATATTTAGTTATTTTATGTGTTTTCTTTTATGTTAAAAATGTAAGCATTTGGTGATACAATTTAATCGAATTATGAAACAAATGATATAGCAGTTTGTTTGTAAATTCTAAGTTACATTTGATGTTCAATTTATGGGAATTAAATTTGCGTTAAAAATGTTTTTCCATATTCTATGCTAACGGTAGTTTCTTAAGATTGGGAAAAACAAAGTATAGTTGATGATCTTGTTTTTTATAGGCCTACCTGTATAACATACACCTACGTTATGTGTGCTAAATCTAAAACGGCCCGATTATTTCTGTGGAGCTACTTTTTGCTTATGGCTTTAGGTATGTTATCTTATTGTAAACTAAGTTTGTAGTATACACTTTGACTAAACAAGGGTTAGTTAAATAGCATGACGTGTTTTTAATGGCATGATGCTATATTTCACTGTATGTATGCTGTCATTATATATGTGTTTTTAATAGCATAATGCTGTATTTGACAGGATGTGATCAAGGCTGGTTTGGATCAAATTGTCAATTCAAATGTCACTGTAAACAATCCAACCTGTGTTCGTACCAAGGAGAGTGTTCTAATGGAGGCAAATGTGATGAAGGATGGTTCGGCCCGTCTTGTCAGTACTGTACGTATCTAAGTGAACTATTGCCTTTAACCACTTACAATGCGATTACTTTATGTAAGACACATACGACGATTATTTTTTCTTTCAGACGACTTGGCCAGGTCACGTGACTTAAATACAGCTAAAACCACGGACATCCAGACTGTAACAGATGGAGATGACCTAACCTGTCAGCCAGTGGTCAGTAACATGACCTTTACCTGGACCCACTCTTACCTCATTACCTGGATCAGAATCATCACATCTAATTCAGGTATGTTAGTAGCCCTTGAGAACTATAACCTGCTTACGACAATTTTCCATAAGGTTATTATGTTAGAGTTTTTAAATAAAAGGCTTGATTACAAAATAGTCCATGTCATATTCTAACCTAAGCCATATATGTCAACCAGTTTCTCTTTCTAGCTTTGACTATTGAACGTTGGTAGGACTCTCCCGTCTCTGAAGCCAACCCCATGCCAACCAATAACATTTTGTAACTTAATTCTCTTTGTTCATATCATTACTGCCTAGCAAGTCATTTATTCTTCTTTTGCTTCGTTCTTAATTCCCACGTTTTCTTTAACTTGCTTTCTCTGTTTGTGTGTTTGTCTTTCCAATCAAATCTTGCGATCGAAATTTCTGGCACTTCCCAGTTAGCTAGCGCGCTGAAATTTTCAGGGAAGCTTTCTTTTGGATGACCATTGAATATTCAATTGTTATTATTACTAAATTGATCAATGGAAACATTTTATTTTACTCTACTATAAGCGATCAAAAACGTGGGGCGCCGTGATTTTCTTACAGTTTCTAATACTGTTGACTCTCTACAAGCTCCCTAATAAAAGTCAATAGTATTATCTAATCAATAGTAATATAACTTTTAGGCGCCCCACGTTTTTCATCGCTTATAGTAGAGTGATCGCTTGCATTATTGTGATGTAGGGCCTATAGCATTTATTTTCTACTTTTTAGTTCAATCAGAAAACGTGGGTTTTTTAAAACTTTTTTAATGATTATTATTTTAGTGTCAACTGGTTATGCGCGTGAGGCCATTCACTCCGATTACAACCTGCTTTTCTTTTTGGATTTGCTTCCATAGCCTTTATCCAACCAAGAACAAACTACAAGGCAGCATTTGTTTGATTTTGGAGTTATCTCTCCTAGAAGAAGGGCTGTACCCAGCTAACGAGCCTCATCTGCCCGAGGGTTCGAACTCGAGACTTATCGGTTTAACAGCCATGTGCTTTACCGACTCGACCACGCCGACCTTCGTTTTCTGAAGCTATTAAATAGCCACATTATTTAAATGTTAGAATCTTAGTTTACCATGTCAATGTGTCATGTCGGTTTGTCTATGTGGGTCATTTGTCCGGTTCACACAGGAAGGTCTATATTAAATAGGTTTACTTGATCACAGTACCATCCTCTTGAAGTATAAGTTAATATTCATTAGGCTTTAGTATTGCTCGTATCTGCATTAAAAAATGACCCTAGTCATACGTTTGGAACAATGATATGCATTGATCAAAATTGTTTATTTTAATCCTTCGCCCCCCCCCCCCCTTTATTCCCCAACAGATCCCAGGATGAATGTGTCACTGGCCATGAACGACTCACCAACAGCTAGATGCACGAGATTTGTGAACAGGATGAGTAACACGAGTCAGATACACGATTTACATTGTGGTGTCAACTACCCTGTCAACTCTGTTACAATTTACGGTTTTTTCAACACTTTAGTCTGCTCGGTCCACATAAGTAGAGGTAAATATGGCTATAAGAGAACTATATGGGAATATACAGTATGTACTTTTTATGTACTTGTGAAAACATTCAAGATAATTGCAGTGTAAACTTAAAATTGCTGGACGTGCAATGTAGCCAATAATTTTTAATTAATATTCTTTTAAAATGATTTCAATAATCTCAATAAAATGTTTAATTTTGAAATCACAGGTCGAAATGTTGCACTAAAACAGATGGCTAAACAGTCGTCCACATTTGAACACACGGGTTACGACTACACATTCACGTCCGAAGATACTCAAGCAAGCAACGCTGTGGATGGTAACACCAGCCCAAAGTTTTCAGATAAAAGCTGTACTCACACTGATCACAATACAGACAAGACACCTCATTGGAACGTGACTTTGTCTAGAACCCACAGCGTCAATCGATACGTCATTTACAACAGAAACAGTAATGTTTTAAATGTTTCTAATTATAATTACAATACAGGGTATGGCTGGGTTGTGGGGTCAGTGAGGTGTGAGTAGAACATAAGACGACATCAAACAAGGCATGTATTTCTTCGAGATAAAAATACAAAAGTCCTACTGGAGAGTTGTTTGAGAATATCACTTGTGATGTCTCATTAAAATATCGAAATGAAACTTTAAAACCGAGCGCATGTAACAAATGAACCTACTTGACTAGACTGACACTAAAAAACATCACAAACACCGAGTTAGCTTGATAGCCTGTGGCTGTGGAGATCACAACGAAGACAAGCATAAAGCTAATCTAAGGAGTGGAGTGACGTCATAAGATACATTTGCTTTATTGCTCTTGCAAGTCGGGACGACAGCGTTTGCTCTAATCTCTCCCTACCCCACCCCTCCTCTCGCCACGTATCAAACTCATAAAACTTATTATCCGAGGTCAAACTCCGGGCAGATGAGGCTCCATAGATGGGAACCCCAGCCCAACTGGAAGAGACAACTCCGATTTCTGACAACTGCTGTGTTGTAGTTTCTTCTTGGTTGCAAAAAGGGATAGATCCAGATATATGATAGCCATTTGTGTCATAAAAGGCGGTCAGCAACTGAAGACACCATTGGGGAAGGGGGGGGGGCGGGGGGTTAAACTCGTGACTGATTAAAGCTGTTGGGTAAACTATCCCGTTATTTACTGTAGGACTGCGTCTAGTTGTATTAAAAAAAGATATTATTAATTTAATCCACAGAGAATCAAGAACGGTTAAAAAACTTTTTTCTTAAGTCTTATGACAACAACATGAGATTAGTTTTTAACTACAGAGACGTCAATAGTAAAGACATCGATGTGTATACTATTACACAGCCATCACACGAAACGAAATATATTTCTATTGCCGCCACTTACAAAAATTATAACTATGAAATTATGCTGACGCTTTGTGAAGTAGAAATTTATGGTGGTACGTTATATTTTGTTCACACTGACTTAATATAACTGTATTATTTAGGACTATATCTGACTACAGACGGACAAACAGACAGACAGACAGACAGGCAGACAGACAGACAGACAGACAGACAGACAGACAGACAGACAGACAGACAGACAGACAGACAGACAGACAGACAGACAGACAGACAGACAGACAGACAGACAGACAGACAGACAGACAGACAGACAGACAGACAGACAGACAGACAGACAGACAGACAGACAGACAGACAGACAGACAGACAGACAGACAGACAGACAGACAGACAGACAGACAGACAGACAGACAGACAGACAGACAGACAGACAGACAGACAGACAGACAGACAGACAGACAGACAGACAGACAGACAGACAGACAGACAGACAGACAGACAGACAGACAGACAGACAGACAGACAGACAGACAGACAGACAGACAGACAGACAGACAGACAGACAGACAGACAGACAGACAGACAGACAGACAGACAGACAGACAGACAGACAGACAGACAGACAGACAGACAGACAGACAGACAGACAGACAGACAGACAGACAGACAGACAGACAGACAGAAAGACAGACAGACAGACAGACAGACAGACAGACAGACAGACAGACAGACAGACAGACAGACAGACAGACAGACAGACAGACAGACAGACAGACAGACAGACAGACAGACAGACAGACAGACAGACAGACAGACAGACAGACAGACAGACAGACAGACAGACAGACAGACAGAGATCTAAGATTAATACATAACTGTACAAGTCAGATACACTCACAATTTAAAAAATCTTGGAGCAGATGTCCAGTGTGAGATTGGAAGATTTGGCCTTGAGTGCAATAGCACGTGCAACTGTAGAACAGCAGGTGAGGCGTGTGTCGTGTCGACAGGGGCGTGTCCTGCAGGGTGTGCTTTAGGGTTTCACGGTGTTGGCTGCAATGAAGGTTAGTTACTGATTGTATCGCAGTATATGTTTTACTTTAACAAACACGTCCAAGTAAACTTAATAAAGCCTCAATATATACTACATACATATCTACTACATACACATAAGCTACACGGAGGTATGTGATGGGTAGCCGAGATCTGACCCCATATTCCCAGTTAGCCATACAGCAGCTCTAGCTTCATAATATCTATACACATAACACATAACCCTCGGCCACCGAACCTTCATTTAACGTTAAATCAGAACGAACGAATACGGCACGGTAATGGACAATGTTGAGGAATCTTAGAATAACATATTTTTACCAGTGTATACTGTGTAAAAGCTTTTATGGTCATTTATTTCAGCCTGTCCACCTACCATGTGGGATTATGAATGTGCTAGTACATGCAACATAAACTGTCTAAACAAGTCATGTAATAGCCAGACAGGTCACTGTATGTATGGGTGTATAGACGGTTACACGGGCTTCACGTGTGCTGAAGGTAAAATTGTATTGTTGAAATGTATATATATATATATATATATATATATATATATATATATATATATATATATATATATATATATATATATATATATATATATACCATTGAGATAATAGGATAAACAGCAGTTTTCTGCTTCAATAATAGAAAGGTATTTCTTTACATGGCAGTCGGTGAATAGGCCTATCTATTTAGTCAAAAGTAAAACAAAAATTCAGTTATTAACACTCAAACCAATTATTCGCAACGATGACAATGAATGAAAAGCGTCTGTTATGGTTTGAGAACAAAATTCTATGACGTTACAGAGAGTATTTTTCGCTCAATTCGTCATGCCAGACCCATTCATAAGGACAAGACCAATATAATTTATTACCTCAAAAACATGGGGTGATTATGTGATTGAGAAGGGCGGATTATATGATATGGCTGACTTTACTTTTACGTTTATTATCAATGTAAACATCTTACAGGTAGTAAACCGGTCGATTCTGCAGTCATCACGTTGATAACAAAAGTTTTCTCGCATTGATTGTTGGAGTAGTTGTTGGGATCATTATAACAAGGTTCATATGTTTTTACACAATTTCTAGCTTTTTAAGTTAAATTATAATTTGCTAATGTAATGTATACACAAGTAAAGAAAACTTAATACAGATTAAGATAATGAAGATTCGCTAGATCTATTATCGTACTGGAGGTTTTGAGGTTTTGATTTCATTAATTACTTAAGACATTGCTGTATTTAATTTTAAACCTCAACTCTTAAGGTGGTACATTAAATATAAGAGTACGGAGCCAACATCAAATGCAACAAAGATCAACAGGCAAAAAAGTAAAGTTTATTTTCATTCAATTTAAGATTATAATTGAATAATATAATAAGATATAGTTATGTACAATTGTGCTTAACCATTACCTAAGGCTTAATGCAGAAACAAATATTGCTCTGTTTTCAAATTATTTAAATTATAATACTTAATATATAAATATATAAATATATATATATATATATATATATATATATATATATATATGTATATATATATATATATATATATATATATATATATATATATATATATATATATATATATATATATATAAGTCTCAGAAATCTTTTATATTTGACAATATGCCTTCAATATAACAGATGATCTTCACATTAATGATGCAGGAATGTCCAGAGTTTATAATCAACCAGAATTCGGTATTACAAACTATGTTTTTGTTATATCCTTAGTTTACATTACATTTAAGGTTAATTATCTAAACAATTCATGTAAAACTAAGTCTCACAATTTGTTTTAGATTATTTCGTTGAATATGTATTATTTTTAATTATTATTATCAAACAGGATCTAATATCATTTTTTTAAACAGATTACCACGTCTATGAGAGACCTACAGTTTAACACAGCTGCTTACGTTTATATAATAACTCAACAAACTGTTAAAGAAGTATGATTATACTGTAATGTGAAATCCTCGCTAAAAGCACTTAACTTTTTAAAACTGTTTTATGAAACTCATCTTGCACATACCACATTCTTATGTCGAGAACTCAATTAATGTACTTTAGTTAATTATGTATCATAAAACAGTCGGCGTGGGCGAGTCGGTAAAGTTCATGGTCGCTGAAGCGAAATGTCATGAGTTCGAACCCTCGAGCAGATGAGGCTCGTTAGCTGAGGACAGCCACTCTTCTAGGAGAGACAGCTCCAAAATCAAACAGCTGATGCCTATTAGTTTGTTCTTGGTTGGATAAAACTATGGAAGTAAATCCAAAAGAAAAGCAGGCTGAAATCGGAGTCAATGGCTTCAATGGCGTATAACCAGTTAACATGTATCCATAATTGTGTTTGAGGCGTGGTCGAGTCTGCAAGAGCTCATGGTTGTTAAATTCGAAAAAAGTCTCAAGTTCAAACCCTCTGGCAGATAAGGCTCGATCCCTTCCTACAATAAAAATTAGGAACGAAGAAGAAGAAGAAGATTTAAACACGGTAGAACGAAACCACGCATTGGAATTATTGAAGGGGATTATGCTAAGTTTTTTCTATTTTTTTTACAGTTTAAATCTGAAGCGTTTTGTTTCGAACATAAGAGTTAGTACTAAAGAACAAAACGACGTTTAAAAATAATTTGGTTTGCGGTGGAAACCCGAAAAAACATTTGCCATTTTGAATTTTTCGGCACTTTTTATTTATGCATTTAAAGCAATCAAATTTTCACTGCTTATATTTCAGTAGAGCCTATATACTAAAACTTTCATCTCGACAATTTTTTATAGGGCTGCTGATCTGAATTCTACACGGTTCGCAAAATTGCACTATACTTAGTACACGAAAATTTGAAAAGTTTGCATAATTTTTACCATTCGCTTTTTTTTAAATTTGTATTATTACATTCAGAATAAGTACGGTTGTATATGGTTGTAATTGTATGATAAATTAAAAAAAAACAGTTGGCTTTTAATGTAAAAAAATTGTGAATTGAGAAAAATCGGAAAAAAACTAATGACAATTGATGTCCCCACTTGTTAATTCAAGTACCACCTCTGTCCTCCTTTACACACAATCATTGGACCCCATGTGCTAAGATAGGGGTTTTGGATTCTACGGTGCCCAAGCGCGCATTACTGTGCGGCGCAGTCACTCCAAAATTCAAACAAATATTACTCCAGTAACCTTCGCAAGACAGTGTAAACAAATTCCCAAAGTTTCAAAGTGATAGGAAGAATGGTAAAAGAATGCATGAAAACGATTAAACACGTTTCTCAAAAGAACAAATTTATTTGCCATATATAGTCTAAAAACGGTTGTAACGACATAATCAAGGCTCTTTCACCTGCAATAATTTAGTTTAAATTATCATTATTTGTTTCATAATGAATGACAAACACTACTTTATGCTATTAAAGGACGCAAACAATAAAATAATATTTCACACAGACAATCGCATTCTTGCATTTGAAGCTTAGTAAAGTAAAACATAATTATTTCTTTTTTTTTTTAGTTTAAACATTTTATGTGAGATTCAAGTAGGTATCAAAAGACCTGTTAATAAACAAATACTTTTCAAACTCTTCTTCGCCAAAATCGTTTAGGTGTAGCCAAAAAATGAAAACATCTTACAAATACTTAACTGATAGTAAAATTAAACGTTGGCAGACTTCTAAATTTAATTCACAATCATCAACGCAAGACTTCGTTTTAAAGTCTTCTAATTAAGTACTAATTAAAGTCAGAAAATTAGCAATTGACTGATAACAGTAATTTTACATTTATTATCTTATCGTCTCGTAATCTTGATCGTTTAAGCTAAACAGAGAGCGTAAGTAATACGATGCTTTATCATAGTGAAATAGCAAGAAATCACAATGTTTTCAGGGATGGTGAAAAATTTCATTTCTTTTTATCACTTGAAATAATTCGGTGTCAAAAGTTTGAAATCAAGACATTTTACTTTTAAACTGAATCTCATTTTAGCATTAAACAATATGTGCTGCTATGTATAATAGAAAAATATATTAAGCAAAAGTGTGGCCAAAGTGAAGTAACAAACTTATTTTTGTAAACTAGCTGAAATTTAGTAAAAATAACTGCTGGCATGTATTGAATAAAAACAAAGACATTTAGTATAACAATAATTCTAGTAAAAGGGAAGTAACAATACTTTTATACATTTTCAGGGCAAGTAAAAAGTTGCTTTTCTTTTTCTCTCTTAAAAAAGTGTTTACAAATTATTTTTAAACTAGACATCTTTAAGTTAATATGAGTTACATCCCGTGCATATATCTCATAAACTGTTGGGTGGTGTGTTTCTTATTGCCAGAGAAACAACGTTTCCAAGGGAAATAAAAATGTAATTACATAAATTCTGTGCTTGAATAGATCTGCATTTAATTGCTTACTAAAAAATAATTTGTAGAGCTTTCACGAAGTTACCTAATTCAATATTTAGACTTTTAATTTTTATACGTGTAGTGATTTTTTCCTATACCTGGCTTTTTGTAACTGTATTGAATTTTAAACTTTAAATTTTAAAATTTAAAATTATTTATTTAAGTTGCAGAATCTTCACTAGAAACTAGGTTCTGATTGATAACAAAAAAACATTATGCTTTATCTGTGTAATAATTTAATTTAAGTAAAATTATTATTATCAGATACTTTGAAAAAAACTACATTCATTTAACAAATCACTTAAAACCAGCAGGTTGAGTACAGAGGCATAGCGATGGGGGGGGGGGGGGGAGCAGGGGGGGCATATGTCCCCGGGCGCCGACCTTAGGGGGCGCCAAAATGGGTTGTATAAACAAATTAAAATGTCATTTTAGCTGCATTTTAGCAGTTTTGAGGGGGGGGGGGGGGGGAGGGTGCAAATTGAACATTTTCTTCCGAGGGGGGCGCCAAATTGAAAGTTTGTCCCCGGGCGCCGGGAAGGGTCGCTACGCCTCTGGTTGAGTACTCTTATTATTTTTAATCTGTCTGTCTGTCTCTCTCTCTTTCCCTTGTTCTTTACGGTATAGATCTATAACCAGCATTAGACTCCAAATCGTCCTTTCAACACTTGCCATCACAATCCAGTAACGACCCTATTTTAATAACGTTAAAAATTCTACCAATCCCCCTTTCTTACCCCTATACGGTAACTTTTGTAGAGTTTACAACCATAATATAACATATCTTTAATATTATTATCATATCATATAATGTATTCTACTAAAATGCGTTATGTGGCGATTATTTTTATCGCAGTATCACTGAATGTCTCATTCGAGTCAATAGGCCAGATAAAGTAGAGTTTACCTGTTTCCGTAACCTCGGCGTAAAAAGGTGTAGAGCCTTTTTACTGACGGAGAGATCCCTTAGGCTATCTATCATTCCGGTATTATTCTGTTAAAGTTTGTTATTATTGTTTAACCTACACAAGGTGAAGTTATTATTAGGACCTTGTTAAGTAATACACCAACCTATAAGTTATTAGTTTTTCATTAGCTATGCAGCCTTAAAACTACTGTTATGAAAACTAACTGCAGTTAGCTATCAAGTGCATAGCTGTGAACAGATAAACTAATTTCTAGTTGCATTAGTCATAGATGCGCGAAAAACAAAATAAGCACCAATTAATGAATTGCTTGTACATATAGCAGTTCTCATACACTAGTACCGGCATTCTAAAAGTATATCTCACTTTCATGGGTCACAAGAACTATGTAATAATGTAGACTGTGGATGCAAAACTAGAATACCTAACATTACATGTGTTATACATACTATATATATATATATATATATATATATATATATATATATATATATATATATATATATATATTACACTGGCTATATGTGTATTGTAAATCCGAAGTTTCAAGTGATGCTAAGTGCCTCTCCCACCAACCCATCATAAAAATATTGTAGTTTGAAGTTGAGGCGACTAATAAGCTTCCTTGTTTTGAAACTGTCGCTAGAAATAGAAAACTTGTAGCCACCTCGTCTGTAGCCAACAAACTAGTTACACAATGCTTCCGCTTTTTTTAAACAATCCACTCTGTTTCTTATTTAAGTGTTGTATTCAGATGGTTAAATCGTTAAACAAAAACAAATTTACGCTCCTGAGTAAATATTGTATTAAATTTATTTTTTCAGTTGATCGATATTTTTTAAAATATTTAATTTCAATGTTTCAGGCTAACATTTACTTTCTTTTGGAAGCACTGGATATAAAATTCGTTTTTGAAATAATTGTGTGACATATTCTTACACTATGTGTGCTGGACTGAAAGCGGCTTATGTATTTTTGTCAAGCTATTTTATATTTCTTGCTTTAGGTATGCTATATTATTGTTAAGATAGTTTGTAGTGTATACATGTAGACCTAATAGAATAATGGCATGATGCTGTATTTGACAGGATGTATGCTATTATTAAAGATGTGTTTTTAATTTCTTGTAAACGAAGTATAGAGGAAGTATTGTAATCGTGAAAAAAAATGAAATTGAGATTTTCACAAATCACGACGTTTTACACCTCGGACAAACATAGTTTTGCAATTTTGTCTATGTGTGTATGTATGTATGTCAACACTATAACTTGAGTACCGTTAGAGCTAGGTTGATGAAATTGCATTTATAAGTATTATATCAAATGTGTAGTTCTGTGTTAACTTTTCAGCGATTTCCGGTAACCGTAACGGGAACTTATTCTACTTTTGGTTTTTCAAAACCTATAACGTTAGTACTGTTACAGGGTTCGATTTTCGTCAATACACTGTCTTTTTTTAAGTAATTAAAATGTGATTAAAAATCTTGTCTATATCCCGAGTTACCAACACCGTAGTGTTATATGAGAATGTTCGAGAAAGTTTAGAGGAGATCACTCCCGATTTATTTAATATGCGTGCTGTCATTACTCATGTGTTAGTTTAATAGCATGATGCTGTATTTGACAGAATGTATGCTGTCATTAAAGATGTGTATTTAATGACATGATGATGTATTTGCTAGGATGTGATCAAGGCTGGTTTGGATCAAATTGTCAATTTAAATGTCACTGTAAACAACGCAACATGTGTTCGGACCAAGGACAGTGTTCTAATGGAGGCAAGTGTGATGATGAATGGTTCGGCCCGTCTTGTCAGTACTGTACGTATCTAAGTTAACTACTCTCTACAACAAATGTACCACGCCGTCAACTCGTGTAAAACAAATGTAACATTTGTGTTGCTGTTTCAGACGACTTGGCTAGGTCACGTGACTTAAATACAGCTAAAACGACGGACATCCAGACTGTAACAGATGGAGATGACCTAACCTGTCAGCCAGTGGTCAGTAACATGACCTTTACCTGGACCAACTCCTACCTCATTACCTGGATCAGGATCATCACATCTAATTCAGGTGTTTTAGTCACGACATACGTGTTAGATAAGATAAATATCACGGTTTGATTGATAAGAATAATATAATTTATTTATATCCCACAACCCGATCACTACTTATGTATAAGGTAGACCATAATTTTATGGTCTATCTTACGAATCTGCTCGCTTTAGCTTATCTTATAAAGATCAGGCTTCCCAACCTCTTGTGTAGCATGTATGTTATACAAACCATTTTTGTTCTCTCTAACTTTTGACACATTGAACGTTGGGTGACTCTCTTGTCCCAGATCCAACCCCATGCCACCCCTCTTTCCCCCCCCCCCCCCTCCACCTCCCCCAACATTTAGTTCCAACTACGTGACGTGAGAAATTCATACATTTTGTTTATAGCATCACTGCCTAGCAAGTCATTTATATTAATAATATGGCCAAGCCAGATTATTTTTCCCACGTTTTCTTTAACTTGCTTTCGTCTCTGTTTGTCTTTCCAATCAAATCTTGCGATCGAAATTTCTGGCACTTCCCAGTTAGCTAGCGAGCTGAAATTTTCAGGGAAGCTTTGTTTTGGATGACATATTCAATTGTTATTATTACTAAATTGATCCATGGAAACATTTTATTGAGCATTTTAGACCGCTATATAATCTATCTATATATATAATTCTCTTCTGGGAGCCGCTAGAAAACAAGCTGCAAACGCGCCTAGAAAACAAGCTGTAAACGCGCTCCCTACCTCCCCACCCCTACATGGTTTTAGTGAGCTGTGTTCACTCTATATGTTTACAAGCAGAGCCAACTATTTTAAAGGTAGGGGGGGGGGAGGGGGGGAAGGAAGGGGGTGGGGTTATGGTCCTTAACGAGCTACTTATAGTGTTTTAAAGCAAACATTTTCAGTGGCAGCATTGGTACTGTCGAATTCACAAATTATGAATTACTGAAAAGTAGAAAAAACAACAACTAAATAGCGGCGTATGTTATGCCGCGGGCCGGCTCGTATATATAATTCTCCTCTGCGAGCCATTAGAAAACAAGCTGCAAGCGCCTCCTTAGAGTCCCCTCTCTTTCTCTCTATCACTATCACTACCACCCTACCCCAATCAAAAACGTGGGGCGCCGTGATTTTCTTACAGTTTCTAATACTGTTGACTCTCTACAAGCTCCCTAATAAAAGTCAATAGTATTATCTAATCAATAGTAATATAACTTTTACTTCGGCGCCCCACGTTTTTCATCGCTTATAGTAGAGTGATCGCTTGCATTATTGTGATGTATAGCATTTATTTTCTACTTTTTAGTTCAATCAGAAAACGTGGGTTTTTAAAAACTTTTTTAATGATTATTATTTAAAACATTAGAATCTTAGTGTACCTATGGCACGGGACCACACAACTGGCTAGAGGTGCATTAAGGCCGATATAAAATTAGCTCACTTGACCACAATACCCTTCCTACTGATGAATGAGTTATAATATTTTAGGCCAATTATTGTTAAAAAAATCACAATAAATATGTTATTACAAAGGCCAACATTTGAAGTAAGCATGAAGTATGGATCCACTACATGCCCCCCCACCCTCACCCCACATCTCAACAGATCATGTGATGAATGTGTCAGTAACGTTAAACGGCTCAACATCCGCTGTATGCAGGAGATTTGTCAACAGGATGAGTGACAGATATCTATCTTATGATCTACACTGTGACGTCAGCTACACTGTCAACTCTGTTACAGTTCACGGTTTTTTCAACACTTCAGTCTGCTCGGTCCACATAAGTGGAGGTAAATATGGAAACAAAATAGGAAACATGTGAAATAAATGTGAAATAAATGGGAAATATGGGAACTAAATGGGAAATATGGGAACTAAATGGGAAATATGGGAACTAAATGGGAAATATGGGAACTAAATGAGAAATATGGGAATTAAATTGGAAATATGGGAACTAAATGGGAAATATGGGAACTAAATGGAAATATGGGAACTAAATGGAATTTTATGGAAACTTTATTAGAATTTTTTAAATTGTTAAAGAAAACTTTCAAGTTTTTTTCCGGCACTTAATTTAAATTGCGTCATTTTTATTGCCGCTTATTTATATTTTAAAATTCATTTTCTGTTTTATCAAATTAGATAAAAATTTTATTTTTTAATATCCTTTACAGGTCGAAATGTTGCACTAAAACAGGTGGTTAACCAGTCGACCACACTCGAACATAAGGGTTCCGATTACACAGTCACGTACAATGAATCTCGAGCAAGTAACGCTGTGGATGGTAAAACCAGCTCAAACTTTGCAGATAAAAGCTGTACTCACACTAAGCCCGATAAAAAAAAGACACCTGAATGGAACCTGACCTTGTCTAGAACCCACAGCGTCAATCGATACGTCATTTACAACAGAAACGGTAATGTTTTGTTTATAATTATAATTACAATACAGGGTACGGCTGGGTTTTAGGGTCAGTGCGGTGTGAGTAAAACAGGGACGACATCAAACAAGGCAGTGATGTCAAGCTGTCCTCGTCTTTCCCCGAGATAAAAATACGTATGTTCTTTTAGTGCTGTTCGAGATTATTATTTCTGGAGTCTCATCAAAATATGCTTAAACCTTAAAATCCATTGTGTGTAACAAATGAACCTACCTGACTAGACTAGTCGAAACAATGCTTTATCTAGTTGATAGGGACAAACGGGTGAAAACAGACCGAATATTGTTTAATCGGGGTGGGGTGACACCGCATCACGTAACATCCGACCAGTGACCCCCAATCGTGACAGGTTTTAGGTACACTGAACTTACAGTGTAAGTTACAGGCATAAACCCATCGAAACACAGGTAATCCCGGTAGGACTATGTGCTAGTTCTATTACATGTTTTTAAATAACAGTATTATTAATTTAATCCACAGAGAATAAAGAACGGTTAAAAAACTTTCTTCTAAAGTCTTATGACAACACCATGAGATTAGTTTTTAATTACAGTGACGGCAATAGTAGAAACATCGATGTGTATACTATCACACAGCCATCACACGAAGCGAAATATATTTCTATTGCCGCCACTTACAAAGATAAAGACGGTGACATGATACTGACGTTATGTGAAGTAGAAATTTTTGGTGGTAAGTTATATGTTATCCACACTGAATATTTATATAATTTAACTATTTATGTTTTTATTAATAAGAAGCTGTAAAATTCAGGTAGATTTACTGTGACAATTACATTCCTAAATAACATTGCATACTCTTCTAAAAATCTATGTTGAAATAGATGTCAAGTGTGAGAGTGGACGTTTTGGCCTTGAGTGCAACAGCACGTGCAACTGTAGAACTGTAGGTGAGCCGTGTGTCGTGTCGACAGGGGCGTGTCCTGCAGGGTGTGCTTTAGGGTTTCACGGTGTCGGCTGTTATGAAGGTCAGTCATAGATTGTTGCTAAATCAATTGTTTGTTTATCAATACGATTTTGCAGTCGCACGCCTAAGTAAACTTTATAAGTCACAGTCTAATTATAATTTTAAAAATTAAGCCATCCAAACATTTGGTGCTCACCAGTACATCTGTTGTCAATAAGCTACACCACGCTTGGCTCGAATAAGGTAATTAAATTTGCAGCAAGTTAAGCTGTAGCTCAAACGATCTCCTTTGCATTTAAGTAGCCATCGACTACCGGACCTCCATTTTCTACTTTGAATAAAATAAAAAAGCGGTGACGCGATAGTGGATACTGTATATTAATCTAAGATTATTTATAATTTATTTCAGCCTGTCCATCTACCATGTGGGGTTATGATTGTGCTAGTACATGCAACACGAACTGTCTAAACAAGTCATGTGATAGCCAGACAGGTCACTGTATGTATGGGTGTATAGACGGTTACACGGGCTTCACGTGTACTGAAGGTAAGTCTATAATATATAGACCCTATGTCTGAACAGTGTTTCTTTCACACGTTTTTCTCCATATATATATTTTTTAAATCTTTATTTCATTCGGCGGGTGATTGGAGTGAGGGCGGGGAAAGGGGAGGGGAGGTGGTATACGTTCCGCACCCCCCCCCCCCCCGCCTCGGTGAGATGCCTGAAAGAAACTGTGTGTGCTAAATGAATGCTTTGAGAAAACAATTATTTTGAAAACGTCGCTATAGATTGTATCAGAGGCGTAGCGACCCTTCCCGGCGCCCGGGGACAAACTTTCGATTTGCACCCCCCTCGAACTTTTCATTTGCACCCCCCCCCCCCTCAAACTTTCAATTTGGCGCCCCCCCCCTAGGGTCGGCGCCCGGGGACATGTGTCCCCCCCCCCTCGCTACGCCGATTTTATTATACTTTTCGATCAATAATAAATTAAATGGTGTTCTTGAATAATTTTTTTGCCACTGTTGGTATTTTATTTAAAATATTCTTCAGACGTGACAGATCTGCCAGTGCCGCTGATTGTTTTCTTAGTCGGTCTCATATTGGCTTTGATTTTCAGCATTTACTTCCTACAACGTCGGTGGGTGTTTTGTATTTTGGTAGCTGTTTATGTTTTTTGTTTCTTCTACTCCTGCTACTGTCTGATGATTAGTAGGCACTATACATTAAATCATGCTCTGATGTTTTTTTTAAATGATGAACACATTATTTTGTATTAAAGGAATCAAAGAATAAAGAAATGCTGTATCGATTCCTTGGCATTCTGGCAATCTTATATCCACTTGAAAAACAGAAGTAGCGACACTGAAAATAGTGGTATAGTAAAAAGAAATGTTCTCGCAATCTCTTACATTCAATGTATGAATAATACAATATTAGCATACACTAACCAATATAATTGGCTTTATATTGTTTTAAAAACCAACCAACGTAATTTTCAGGTCAAAATGAAACATTGATTCCTAAGGGAAAAATGAATGTTTTCATGCAAACACATCCTCATAGCTATTTTAATGAACAATTCCAGGTCAGTTGTATAAAAATAAATAATTAAACATGACTTCGTGGTAGATTAGGCGATCTATAAATCTATATATATATAATTCTCTTCTAGGAGACGTTAGAAAACAAGCTGCAAGCGCGTCTTGCAATCCCTTCTCTTCCTCTCTATCGCTACCACCCCCCCCCCCCCCCACCACACATAGTCTGGTGAGCTGTGGTTCACGCTAAATGTTTACAAAACAATCATAGAGCCGGGTTTGGTGACGGCTATTAGGGGCAGATAATTTAGTTTGAAACGATTTTAAACTTAGAGTAGGTAACTAAGAGGAGGCTGCTTTCACGGGGGGGGGGGGGAGGGGGGTTTAGTATTTTAAAGCAAATATTTTCAGTGGCAGCATTGGTACTGTCGAATTCACAAATTATGAATTACTGAAAAGTAGAAAAAACGACAACTAAATAGCGGCGTATGATACACCGCGGGTCGGCTCGTTTAAGGAAATTCAAGTCTGGCTTATCGATTATTATGACTTACTGTACACTACACATAGATCTAGAAATAGGACATTTCCTTGTTTCTTCATTAATTTTATTTATCCCATGACATTAGAGAATACCTCGCCAGACATCTGATGCCACGATTGTTGGTCTACTCGAGACAAACAGATACAAGAACCGTTACAAAGATATTGTTACATGTAAGGTTTAGCCTGGTTTAACTAGTTAAATGTTAAATAGTATTTTAACGTGAGAACTACCAGTCTAGGTTAGCCTAGTACCAGTTAGGCTACTTCAATAAATAAATAATGTATTGCTGCAAACATTGTAAGCAGTGTTTCTTCCAGACTTTTTTCTCCGGCGAGGGGGGGGGGGGGGGAGGGAGGGGGGGGGGAAAATCGGCACTTAAAATTTTCGGGGGGGGGGGGGGCGGTAGACTTTCTTCGGGGTGGCGGACACTGTTAAAAGTATATATTTATATAAATTATATAAATTTATATAAATTTAATTTCGTTCGGGGGGGGGGGGGGGAGAAACTCTGATTGTAAGTCATAGAAATGAATGTCCCTTCTTGACTACAGATGACCATTCACGTGTATTCCTGGAAGTAAATGAGTCGAAACAAGAGGCCGATTATATCAACGCTTCATATGTTAAGGTGAGCTTATTCCAATACATTTTGAAGATCCATTTGAGTTACATCAGCAGAGCAATGTCTATTTTTTCAGGCCTATATTATTAGCCTATATACAGGAACAAATATAACTGAACAAAATAAATCAATTATATTATTTAATGAATAATATTCAGACTATTGTCCATTAAAAACATAATAATAAAATACAATACATTAATAGCTCATATCATTAGGATTTCTTTTGTTTTTATAATGTTGACAGGGTTACAGGGATAATGAAGTGTTCATTGCTTCACAAGGTTAGTTGCTCTAACTCGCTCTTAATATATGTGTATATATACATATATATATACATATATATATATATATATATATATATATATATATATATATATATATATATATATATATATATATATATATATATATATATATATAAATATATATAAATGTATGTATATATATGTATATATATATATATATATATTTATATATATACTTTTGACCTTATTTTCTTTTAATTTTTAATTAAAAATGTATGTAATTGCATATTGGAAAAAATAAATACAGAATAAGTTGAATCACAACATTCATTATAAACAAATTTTTTATCCTAAAGGAAGTTAGGCTCCATATTCTTGCTTAGTGATTTTTCTGCTAAAGCATTTTATAATTGTAAGTGAGTTAAATACTATTATATTTGTGAATTTCTTTGCTGTAAAAATATTTTTTTTACCAGGACCAACTTCAGCGACTGTGAAAGATTTTGTTCGAATGTTGTGGGAACACAAAATAGATAAAGTTGTGATGCTAACAAAGTTGGTGGAGGACGGAGTGGTATTTGAACATTTTCTTGGTTATTGTAGCTAAAGAAAATGTCTTGTTAATTATCTTTTATGATACTATTTGTATAAAATGTATCTGGCCAGGTCAAATGTGAACAGTATTGGCCAGATGGTGTCACAATTGAATTTGATGACATTCAACTGTTACTGCGAGGCTCTAGAGAGTTTGCTGATTTTACTATTAGAGGCATTGAGATAAGAAAGGTTTTGTAATTTTTAATTCATACTTTTTTAAGAACTATTTTATATTGTATAGTAGTCAAAATATTGATAAGATTTCATTTTTTTAATTTTTAAGTTTAGTATACTAATAATTTTTTAATTTTTTAAAACAAGAAGTAAAGGTCACCTTTTGGAATGTGATCTATAGGGTAGATGAAGTAGAGTATATCAGTTTCTTGACCATTGCATCTGAAGGGATGGTGTTGTCAGCTTTATGTCCAGCCACCTTTACTTTTCTTATTGTTATTCAAGAACCCATCAGAGTTAGGTGGACTCAGGGATGTCTAATAGACTCAAGTCTGAGATATGAACTCAAGACTTTCTGATTAAGAGTTGATTGCTCTGACACCCAACCACTAATTCTTATACTTATTTGTCTAGTCCAAAATATTTTTTAAAACCTATCGAGTGACCAAAATAATTGTATAGCTAATTAAAAAAGTAATTAATAATCTAATGTAGAATCTTTGATGCCAGTATGAACCTTATGTGTGTATGTTTAGGGTGAGGGTCCAGCACATCACTTCAGACGATTCCACTTTACCATGTGGCCAGACAAGGGGGTGCCACTGACGCCGTGGGCTCTGGCAGACTTTGAACAAAGAGTGTCAGCTGAACCAACAAACAAACCAGTTGTTGTACACTGCAGGTTAGCACCTTCAAAACTAAACAAAAATAATGTCAATTTAGTAATTTGTATTGAAAATATGACTAATTTTCAATTTGTTTTTATAGGCTATATATATATATATATATATATATATATATATATATATATATATATATATATATATATATATATATATATATACATATAATACATAAAAACCAAACAATTTACATTTTTATGAGTTCTATAATTTAAAACTGTGTTGCCTTCATTTCTGATGATTACCTAGTATAATGTGAAACCATTGAACGTTTAATAACGCAGCTAAAACTGATATTGTTTGATTAAGCGCTGGTGTAGGCCGGACAGGAACTTTCATAGCCCTGAGTATTGTCATGAAACAGGCACTGGACACAGGCAGTATGAACTTGTATGAGACGGTGGTCAAGCTCAGACAAGACAGGATGCTAATGGTTCAAACTGCAGTTAGTCCTAGTTACATTTTACTCATACATTCTTCATGTGTATTGTACATTTTAAATTATTCAACAGGTTTGAAAAATGTACATAGCAATCAAATGAAAATCATCACACACAATAAGTAACATTTTTTAGAAGCCTACCAATATTAAAAAAAGTAAAAATAGGGTACTATTATGAATATGATGAAAACTTTTTATGAAAAGATTTGTTTTTAATAAATTTTAATTCAAACTCATTAACATCTGTGTATCATGAATTAACAGTTACTTACCATATGTTTTATTACTTTAAAAAATGTGTGAAAATTTTATTCAATAGCGCTGAAGCATAAAATTATATTTTTATGGCTAAAACACAGATATAATCAGATTAAATCGCACAATAGAAAAACACCTACTAAAGTAAAATTGATCATGTTTTCTTGTAATTGAATAATTTTATAATTTGTAATTGTGACAAAAATAAATTAAAATAAAAAGTCATATTCCCAAACAGGAACAATACGAGTTCCTACACAGAGTAGTTCAAGTGTCCTTGGTAACAGCAGCAAAAACTATCCACAAAGCAGATTTAAAAACACACCTGAAAACTTGGCTGACAAAACGGTTTCTTAGAAATTCTGATATTGAACAAGAATTTTCAGTAAATATTTAAATTTCTCTATTTAATTAGTCTAGTTACAGACCAATTATTTTTACCAGGAAATATTTCATTTTTTTTTTATCAATGTTGTTTGTTTTGGAATTTAAAATGTTACTACTTATCAATATGATTCAGTTAAGACACTAATTATATTGATTAATGTTTTGAGTTTCACAATATCTTTTGTGTTAACATTTCTGTTTAAAATCTCAGACTGTTACATGTGTGTGCGATGACATTGCAAGTAGTTTTGAAGGAAAGTTTGAAACAGAAAATGATGAAAATGTCTACCAAAATAGTGTGAGAAATGAAAGATTTACTCACATCAAGCCAGGTAAGACAAATACCAAACACTGTCTTACAATGCTTAAAATAAATATAAAAAATAAAAAAATTATAAATGTAGTTTTTTTTTCCTAACTTACCAGATCCCTACTACACACCCTTTTTAAGGAATTCTTCAAATGAAACTACCTACACTAATGGCCTTATTCTGCCTGTAAGTTTATAAAGAACAAAGTAAAGATAACCTGTATATTGATTTTATGTCTGAATATCTGCATAATGTTTGAAAATGTATTTAAGAACTTCACCAAGAAAGGCAGCCATATCATAACTGAGCTACCAGTTCCTACAGCGGTCCAGGAGTTCTGGAGATTGGTGGACCAGTACAATGTGGCTCTTATTGTAGCCTTTCAGTTTGATGCTTTGATGGGAGATGAGGTAACGGTTCATGCCTACACAATTAGTGATCTGCATTTCTCCATAGCAATCAGTTCAACATTTTACATAGTCAATACTTTGTTTTGTTTTTATATAAATGCATTGTACAGTGTTCAAATGCAAAAAGAAAAATATTTTATTATAAAATGTATTTACTTACAGACATTTGGAAATTACTTGCCACCCAGAAATGAACAAGCAATGGTGCAAGGTCAATTGGAAATAGTGAGTGCAGATACAGAGAGTGATGAGCTATGGGAAATTCAAACTTTACAAATCTCAAACAAAAATCTAAATCATTTACCTAATATTGTAAGTGAAAATGGGCTTATCACTGGATGTAATATAATTTCTTTTTAAATAGAAACATTTTATTTGGTCTTGTCAATGTTTAATTTACTTTATTAACTGTAAACACTTTTTTAAACATAACAGATTTTCTACGGGTTTTATTTTTAAATTATTCAGTTAGATTGTTAGGACAATCAGACCATACTAAATATAGAACATAATTGACAGGTGCAGGAGAGTAAACGTGTGGTTCATCTGAAGTGTGGATTTACTGACCTTGACCCTGAGAAATGGCTGAAGCTAATGAGGACAATCAAGTCACTTGAGAAACGTACAGACAACCGAGTTCTTTTCATATGCAGGTTAGTAAACTTGTATTTTTAATACTTTTACTTCAGGTAGATACCAGAATTGATTGTTTTTAACATTTAAATGCTAATTAGGTATATCTCTTTAAATAGATGTCATTATCAATTGTACACTAATTATTTCATAGCTACATTTTATGGATGAAGACAAAATGGATTATTTTAAAATATAGGTAAACTAAACAAGGCAATTTATTTAATGTAACAATAATATGTTTTAGCAATGGAGCAGAGTACAGTGGAATGGCCTATGTGCTTAGTTACATGATTGACCAACTGGACAATGGCTATCTAAATATTCCCTATACAGTCGGCACTGTAAAATGCCTTCGGCCGTTAGTTGTACCTACACTGGTAACTAGACCCTATTTATCAAAGTGGTTAAATTAAATCTTTAGATTGCATAGTATCTCCCTAAAAATATTTACACAATTATATTCAAAACTTTTTTAAAAATTAGAAACCAAGTAGGCCTACCTTTATGGCACTGATATAAAATAATATTCAATAATATTTTTTGTAGCAACAATACAAGTTTCTGCACCAAGTGATACAACTTTATAATGAAAGATTAGAAAAGGAAGACAGTTCACAACTCACTTGCAAAAATGATGAACATTTGTATACGAATTCAGCATTTCTTTATCAAAAGCAGTTCAAATGAAGAACAGCTGTCACCATTAAATTATCATATTTATTGCAACCATCTTAATTCTATATTTTACATTTAATTCATTACTTTTAAACTATACACTTGAACAAAAGTTGCATTATATAAAATGTGCTACAATATTATTGAAATAATTTTTTTTAAATATGTTAAAATTGTATTCATATATATTTTACTGATACAATTTTCTGCATTTAACTGCATATTCATTTGTTGATTTTTAAACTGGTTCATAATTTTTTTTGCCTTAAGAAGATCAAGTGAGGTCAGAAATTGAATGCCCATCTATGTTGTATACTTCATTACCAAACTTAAGCATCTACAGGATTAATACATCTTATATGATAACTCTAACCATAGGAGCTTATAATTTTACTTGCTTTTGATAAAAAGAAATAGTTCTCAATATTTAAATTGAAAGCTTTTTACTTGTAAATTGTTTTATTATGTAAACCCACACTCCAGACCTAATACTCATCACAGGTTTTCTGATATTTTTAATAGCACTTCATATTTTAATCATTAATTCCAACCACTTAATCATTAGGTTTCTCATTATTGTTTGCAATCCACAGGGGCCAGTTGAAAGATGTTTCTATTGTAATTATCTCTAAAATGTCAATAGTGTTAGAACAAAATATAAACTACTTGACATAGAAAGCATAAATATATGTAGCCTATATTTTTTACTGATAGAATAATGTGCAGTCTTTTATATATATTTCATCAATACACTTATAATAACAGATGAATAAGAAAGGAAAAAGAATTAAACAGAAAAAAAGTACTTAATAGTCTGCATAAACATTCTCTTCTTCCATACTGTGTTTTGTATCTGGTTTGTAATGGAAAGTGCCTTGAGATGTTCAAAAGTTTCAATAAGTTGTCCTCATGTTGTTGTATGACTTGATACAGGCAGCTGTACTGATCCTAATGATGGAATTAAGATTTTGTTTCTCTAGTCATTATTGTTATCATATATATATATATATATATATATATATATATATATATATATATATATATATATATATATATATATATATATATATATATATATATATATTGGTTGCTTTTAGTCAACTCGCTGCTACCCTTAACCCAAAAAACTGCATATGCCTGTAAGCGGAGGTCATATAAATCAACAGAATATTCACACTTGAACTCCTAACAAAAAAAAGGAGAAAAAATGTAAAGTTGTTAGCCAATTTAAAACAATGATAGAAGGATGTTAACACGTGACTTTGTAGAAATGCTTATGTTTAAAAAATATAAACTAATCTTTTTTTTTCAGAATAAATTTACTATAACCTTGCATTGCTGTTGTAATAGATTGAAATAATTGTGAGGTCAAGGGAACTCACTCTTCTGTATTAGTTATATTTATAATATTGTTATCTTGAGTGATGTCCCTTGTGTACTTCCTTCCGTCCTCTCTGTGTGTTTCCATCGTGATGTAGTTAGACCCATTAAATGTGTTATATACAACCACAGGCTTCTGTCGTCAATCTATTATAACTGGCGACGAAGGATAAACATCTACTAGAAAGAGCACCTACTTACGCAAAAAAGAGGTTTGCTAGAGCTTATTAGCTAATTATTTCTAGAATTATGGCGCTGTATGGCCAAATAAAAGAATTTGATGCGAATGATGAAATCATTCAAGATTACCTAGAGAGGTTAAGCTTTTACCTAGAAGCTAACGACGTGACGATAGAAGCCAAAAAGAGAGCTGTTTTGTTAACAGTCATAGGGCCTCAACAATTTAGGCTACTAAAAGACTTATGCACACCAGCTAGTCTAACTACCAAGAGCTTTAACGAGCTGAGCAAATTACTAACAGACCACCATGCGCCTACCCCATCAAAGTTTCTATGTCGAGCTAGATTTGACAGTAGGACTCGTCAACCAAACGAGTCAATATCAGAATATGTTGCTGCTTTACGTCATTTAAGTGAATTTTGTGAATTCGGCGATACGCTGTCTGACAGACTATGTGAAAAGTTGGTGACAGGTGTAAACAGCCCTGATATTCAAAGAAAGTTGCTGCTCGAGTCAGATCTAAAATTAGAAAAAGCAATACAACTTGCAATGTCATTCCAGCAGTCATCAGATGCGGCGAAATCTCTTACGCCTTCAGGGATCCATGCAGTAAACAGCAGGTTAGTCAATAAACATCAACCCCATCAGAGCATTCCAACTTATGCTAAACAGCCTGCTCGTTCAAATCCTAGATCTAAATCTAGTAATAATTATCAAAAATGTCATCGATGCAAAGGTCCCCATGCATCTCATCGGTGCAAGTTCAAGTCTGCAACTTGTTATAAGTGCGGTAAGCAAGGTCACATTGCCAAGGCCTGCTTTGCAAAGTCTTCGTCTGTTGCTAAATCTAGCCAGTCAAGACAGTACCGCAACCAAAGGCAGCACTATGTTAACTCTCACCAAGACTACCTAACCCAACCAATGAACCACTCTACCTGTGAAAATGCTCAAACTGATTCGCAGCCGGATTTCAACCTATTCTCTGTGAAATCAATAAGTCATGCTCCCATCAATGTACCAGTTAATATCAACGGTAAGAGCATCAGCTTCCAACTTGACACTGGAGCATCACTAACAGTCATCACAAAGAAAGATTTTGACGCTGTCACAGGAGGATCAGTGTCTCTACAGCCGTGTCACAAGTGTCTAACAACATACACTGGTGACAATGTTCCGGTAATAGGAGAGTGTATGGTTCATGTAAGTTATAATGGTCAAAGTGTTAAACTTCCTCTTCTTGTGGTTGAAGGAAATGGACCGCCATTACTAGGTAGGAACTGGTTAAGTAATCTTAAGTTAAATTGGGAGAGTATTTGTTCATTGAAGAATGTAAAAGAATCTAGTCTTACTTCACTAGATAAAGTTATATCTGAAAATAAATGTGTTTTTGGTAATTCAGGTTTACTAAATGATAGAACAGTGAAGTTAAGCATTAAAGATACAAATCCAAGATACTGCAAAGCTAGAGTTCCACCTTATGCAATGAGGAATAAAATTGAAAATGAGCTAAGTAGATTGGAATCTAATGGCATTATAAAGAAGGTAGACTATTCCGATTGGGCGACACCCATTGTGCCAGTGTTAAAGAAGGATGGTTCTATAAGAATTTGTGGAGATTATAAAACTACACTGAATAAGCAAATAGAGCTAAATAGGTACCCTATACCTAACATTGAGGAAATTTCTTTGAATTTGGCAGGAGGAGACAAATTCACTGAATTAGACTTTAGTCATGCTTACACTCAACTAGAACTGCATCCAGATTCAAAAGTCTATACGACAATAAACACACATAAAGGACTCTACCAATATGAAAGACTATGTTTTGGCACATCATCTAGCCCTGGAATTTTCCAAGATGTCATGGACAGTATTTTTAAGGACATTCCAAATGTTTGTGTGTACTTTGACAATGTGTACATAACTGGTAAGAATGACACTGAACATCTTAAAACACTAGATAAAGTCTTGAAAATAGTTGCTGAAAAAGGTTTAAAGATAAACAAAGATAAATGTCAATTCATGCTGACAGAAATTAGTTTTCTTGGTTATATATTAAGCAAGCAAGGCATCAGACCTCAACCTGAGAAAACAAAAGCCATTAAAGAAGCACCCAAACCTGAAAATACCCAACAACTAAGAGCTTTTTTGGGCTTGATAAATTACTATGCAAAGTTCATAGGGAATCTGTCTGGTAAACTATCACCACTGTACAAGCTGCTACAGAAAAATGCAACTTGGCACTGGGGTAAACAACAAGAAGCTGCTTTTAATACAGCAAAAGAGGCTTTGTCTGCTGACACCTTACTAACTCACTATGACCCAGGGAAAAGACTTATATTAACATGTGATGCTTCACCAGATGGTGTAGGAGCAGTCTTGTCCCACATGGATGAGAAGGGTGACAGACCCATTGCTTTTGCCAGTAGATCTTTGAATCAGGCTGAGAAAAATTATTCTCAGTTAGATAGGGAAGGCTTAGGCATCATTTTTGGTGTTAAGAAATTTCACAAGTTTCTGTTTGGTAGGAAGTTCACCATCTTTACAGATCATAAACCATTGCTAGGTTTATTTGGAGAAAACAAAACCCTACCTGAGCATGCCTCACCAAGAATTCAAAGATGGGCTATCACACTAACTGCATACAATTATGAATTGAAATACAAACCTGGATCTGATAATAGTGCAGATAGTCTTAGTAGATTACCTTTAAAAAAACCAAAGCCTGAGCTATGTACCAGAAGATGTATTTGTTCTCTTCACTATCATGGATAACTCCAATATAAATGTGAATGATATTAAAAGAGAAACACAAAAAGATGAGTGCTTAATAAAAATATATGAGTACAGTAAGAATGGTTGGCCTGAAGAGTCTGTGAATGATGACTTAAGGCCATATAAAATAAGAAATAAAACCCTTTGTGAAGATAATATAAAAGATGGAGAAGATGCAGTCCATTATCAGTCAGAGTTGCCTAAACAAAGTATTTGTAACTTAATAAATGATTATGGTGATATGGCAATTTCAAATGCTTTCAAAGAGAATACATTAGTAAGAAGGAATGTGATCATCAAACAACTTTGCTAACATCATTAGCACTTACAGAAACTAAAAGGGTAACATCAAAAGAAGAAAAAGATTTTTGCCATTTAATACACCCACTTCAAATACTGGATCACAGTTGCAAAGTGATATGGTCCAGAATATTACTCATAAACAGTATTTTTGGTTACCAGGAAAGCACTATCAGATTACCTGAGAAAATTGATCAATCAAAGAAATCTATGTCAATTAAGGATCTGAATAATAGCATAATACTTTCAGATGCCAATTCAAAAATAGCTCCATTAAATCATGACAAACATTCATTGAAAGAGAATTTGGTGTTAATAAGAATGTGTATCTAAGAAATTATGGGAGAAAGGAAAAATGGATACCAGGTCAAATTGTTCAATGTACAGGACCTGTGTCTTATAAAGTAAAAATAACTTGTGCAGATAATAAGTGTGAATCTATCAATCCCACCAAATCTGAACAGTTCACACCAACTCAGTTTGTTCCACAACCAAGTTCTGTTGATATGAGTGAACCAAGTTGTCTGGAGTCAGAAAATGTAAATTCTGGAGTTAATGATTTAAATCCTAGACCTCCTGAGATAGAGAATCCAAATGGTCAGAATATTGAGTCACCAAATCAAAGGCCACTGAGAAGGTCAAACAGGACAATCAAAGTCCCAAATAAGTTAGACCTATGATTCTAAAGGTCAAAAGGACTTTGACATTATTGTTTTGTATTTTGATTATGTTGTAGCATATTGTGCATTGTTTGTAAGGATGTAATCTACCATAGTGTTCATGTTACAATATAATTGGTGATTTTAGGATACTATCAATTGTTCTATTGAGAGATGTGTTATTGTGTTCTAAGGGTAAAGGGATGTAATAGATTGAAATAATTGTGAGGTCAAGGGAACTCACTCTTCTGTATTAGTTATATTTATAATATTGTTATCTTGAGTGATGTCCCTTGTGTACTTCCTTCCGTCCTCTCTGTGTGTTTCCATCGTGATGTAGTTAGACCCATTAAATGTGTTATATACAACCACAGGCTTCTGTCGTCAATCTATTATAGCTGTAAGTTGAATTCAATAATATGATTAACATAATTGATAATATGCTTTTGATAGCCAGGATTACCATTTGTGAAGAGGATCACCGTCGTCCCTGAAATGCACTCTTGCGTGACGGTATAGTTATGAACAGGGCTTGATAATCACTGACATTTAGCTTCCTGGTTGAAAGGGTGTGTATTGTGTGTATGTGTAGGCGAGGTTTATTTTTGTTGTTGTTGTTGGGGGTGAGTGACTCGACACCACCAGCTTAAACTACAAATTGTCGTTTTAACCTCAATAAGTGACCTTAAATATAAGTAAATGATTAATTATATATTAGTTTATAGTATAATAATGTTGTTGTCTACGATAGTACAAGGGTAGCTAGCCATTGCAGGTGGCATCATATAAGCATGCCTAATTACTTATTCGATTTTAGGCCCTGTTAATCCGTGATGTGTTATAAAATGCTATACACAATCATTAATGAAGTCAAATACTGGCGACAATGTTTTAAGTCAGGTGTTTTGTGGACATCAACTCACCATGTGACGCCACTATATATATATATATATATATATATATATATATATAGTGTTAAAAGTATCTTTTTAAAATGATACAGCTTGAAATACCAATCCATGTTCGTTCAAGTGCATTAAAGTCCAATATTTATATTACCTTATGTGTAAGGTCACGACAAACATTTACATAAAAGTGTCTGTCTATTCGCTCCGTGTGATCTTTTTTCAGCTTAATGTATAAGGTTGAGAGCCCGGCATACAAATCTATTTTTGAAGTAACTATAAATAGCTGCATCGGAATTTTATCTTGGTAGTGCTTATTTCGATCACGGATAACCGAGGGGAATTGGCTGTCTGGGGGGGGGGGGGGGGCTTCATCTTATTGCGGCATATGCTACTAAAAAAAATTATAAAAATTATTTTTTTTTCTCTTACACAAACATGAACACAAGCATTACTAGCGCTCACCATCGCCCTTACCCTAATTCTAACGCCTAACCCAAGTACACAAACACGATGTCGTGATTGTTGTTCGCTATCCTAATATATAAATCCCCACGTTCGCACATCTCTCTCTCTCTCTCTTTCTCTGTCCGCAAAAAATTTTCGCCGGACATCACGTCAGAATCGGCAGCGATATATGGAGAACTTTTTACGGACTTTTGTTGAAAATAATATGTTAGATGTTTTAAATGTATAACCACAATTTTACTTAAAGAAGAAAAATAAAAATTAAAGGCGTATTCGAATGTAGAGAAACAGTATTATTTATGCAACCGGAAAAGCATTAATAGATGTGAAAAGAACGCATAAAACTGTGACGTCACTATTGCTTATACATTAACTAATGACGTCATCTGCCGTGTTTGAATAAAAAGAAATGAACTATTTCATTCAAATTTGATTTAGATCTACGTACACTATGAAATGTATACAATACAATTTTTCCGGCCTAAACTCATAAAATTTATTTTATTTATTTGGATTCTAGATCTATATATTCTAGATTCATCTATTCAAATAATACATTTCTATACTAAAGTATTTCAGGCCTTAATTACTTTATTGAAATCTTTGTTTATCTATAATATATAAAGCAAAGTTGTCGGGTGCCCGATAGGGCACTTCCCGGCGCCGCAGGCGCTTCAAATTTGGCAGGATCTTGCCTTGGGGCGACTGAACACGGGGGCCGGTTGACCGAAAAGTCTACGATGATGGGGTCAAAACTGACCTCGACTGACCGGCGCCTTATATGAGCTATAAATAAAAAAAAAATGTCCACGGAGGAACCTCTTCATAACTCCTGAGGTCGTAGACCGACCCTCGGGCGAATTAATTAAGCATTCAAATTCTCAATGTCTTCGAAAGCCTAAGCAAAGCTGGGCAGCATGCCTAGTAAATTAAGAACCGGCGTATTTGCTTTAGGGAGGTAACGCTTATATGAAATTATTTCATATAAGCGTTACCTCGCTAAGTTTAGATAAAGGTTTAATAAAAAATAAATCTTGACGTATAATAAAAATAATAATATAATAAAAAGTATATATTATATAAAAACATTTCGAAATGTTTAACTCTTTAAAACAAGTAGAGCATACATTTGTTTGTTTATTGTCTTTCATATTGTTATAAGAAAAAAAATAGGAATAATATTATACATAAAGCACATAAATTAAAAGTGATTAAGGTTTATATTTGCGTACTTGAATAGTCAAATTAGGATTATAGCTTTAAAAAAATTCAATAGCTTAACATAGTATTAAACCAGTCATTCAATTAGCTGCCATTCTAGTTATGTTTTTCATAGAATTATGCTGATTATTTCTAGCAATTAAATTGTGTACACTGCCAACACACAATTTTGCATTGTTAACTATTGGCATAAACATTTTCATCTTCGTGTGTTGTTGTGGACAGCGTGAGGTTCTGTTGTCCTCTTGATATTGTGTCATAATTACTGTAAGGTGTACTGAGCTCGTTATATCTCTTTAGGACTTCATACACACATGTGTACTGGGCCTGGGGATAGAAGCTGCACTTAGAAGGAAGTACATCACTATATCGTGTTCTTATGAATACAAAATTTGCTGCAGGTTTTGTTTTTGGTCTCAGGGAATCTGTACGTTAAGGGTGCAGGATGTTATAATGGTTAACAGAAAGTTTAGATCAATGATCGGTTGAAAAATAAGATAAGGATCAGAGCTAGTGTTGACGCTAGATGTAGCTATAGTCATAAATTAAATTATTCATCAGAAATTTTGACGATTTTACAAGTAAAATGGTCGTATATTAAAGTTTTATTTTACATAATTATAATAAGTAGGCCTACTGTTAATTAAAGTTTGACGCTAAAAATATATGTCAAAATTCAATATTTCAAATTTAATGAAATGTATTTACCAGAGATGGGATGACCTGTGGTCTGATACATTTGATGGCACCAACAACAAGTGGAACTGTTAAGCTTTGGTCATGGTCCATTCGGTCAAGTAGAAGACTCAACACACAGGCCAGGCCGCTGTACTCAGCTCCGTTTCTGGAATTAACATACCATATTTTAAATATTGTAGCCGTTGTTGATTATCAAACATGGTTGTTCGGAAAATGCGAACTTGTAAAAAAAATGTCCTCATGGAAAACTAAATAAATGAGTGATTTAATAAGTCATTCTACTGTATGTGCAGTAAATAAATACCTGCACATGTAGAGTACTCTCCCCTGTGCCTGTACATTGTTTGACCTTGTGTGTTTGAGAAGTTTGAGAAGATTCTTGGGATTCAGGTCTGTGCTTTTACTCGCTATGTGGGTCACGTGGGATTCTTCCGTCACCTGTAATATAGTAATGAGATCATCTAGATGTATCCAACAGTTTCTGTGACCTCGGCATATAAAGAGTAAGTGTGGTCAGCGCTAGGCCCAACCTTTTGTGATAACCTAAAAGCTACACTGGATGCATATCACTTACTCCATCAGGTAGGAAAACCATCGCTTTCTTGACGACTTTGACAGTGATCTGTTGTTCCTCCCATAATCTCTCAGACTTGACAGGTCCTCTGTGTATTTCATATGGTCCACAGTCTAAAGGTGTTGTCATGTTGGCAGGTAGGTACTGGCCGAGAGTCTGTTTACGGGATTTGTTAAAGTAAAGGCAACAAATATAATTTTGCAAGGTTAATAACATCACTTTACATGAAAATCATATAATTTTATTCCATCAGCAATTACGTACACGATCTTTGAGGGAACTCTCAGTTTGAAAGGCCACGACCAGTTTAACATTGTACTGTGCCACCAATCTCCAGAAATCTGTGACTGTGTTTGGCATTGGGAGCTGTGTTAGTATCTGGTTCTCTCGTTTGGTAAAACTCTGTTAGAAATACAACCAGAGTAAATATTTTTGGTTCTTTAAAATGCTTTTCACATAGACTAAAATAGTGAATTTGTGTTGATAAACTACATACCGAGATGAGGACAGCATTAATGTAGTCTCCTAGATGTTCTCTCTCACACGCTAGAGAAGCTCTGTATTGCTTACCTTTATATATATATATATATATATATATATATATATATATATATATATATATATATATATATATATATATATGATAAAAAGCTAGAATTATAAACTAAACATATGTATCAATATAAATAAAGGATAAATTAAAGCCCACTTGGCATAATTGCTGAACATCTGTTTCTTGTCGTGTCATTGAGACTTATTCGGTTTTGATAAATGTTTGACTCCTCTTGTTTGTTGTCCAAAAGCTCTTTGTGTTTGTTAAAGTCAGAACTCACTTTTGATACATCCTGAAACGAAGTTTAATAGAGTATATTCAGTACATTTAATGTATAATGTACAGGACTATCACGCTGAGTAAAGCAATACACGATGACATCCGTAATGAAGCATGGAGTGACATATAGATGTCTGTTCTCTCCATTCGTTTTTTTACTCGCTGTTAATCGACAATGGAGCGTTCTGGGTGTACCACTACACGACTTGAGAAAACTAGCTAAGAATAGAGTCGACCGACAATTTTTTGTCCACTGTCAATGGAAGGCAAATAACCAAATTATTAAAAAAAAATACGAACATATATAACACATTATGTATTTGTAATATGCAAATTACACCAAACGTTTTATTTAGCGCTATGATTTGTTAACGTTGAAAATAAGTCATTACGCATGAAGCTCTTGGTAAAGAAGAGACGATATTCTTGAATTCGTAACGATTTCCTAGGTTATTAAATCGTCATAATACATTTTAACTATTTAAAAAAAAATAGTTTTCCATGTATTGGGAGACATTGTTCTCACCCGGTACTCTAGTTCCAAGTTGTTGATTCCTGAGACTGAGGTCTCCTGCAGGTACTCGATCCTGGCAGTGATGTCATTAGCTGTCACGGTGGTGCCCATACAGATTATAGCAACCTGGGCAGCCCTGTGGAGGAACTCGTACTGTTCCTGTGAATAAAATAAAAAGTAAATGTCAGACATAATTTTAGTATGAGTTTTAATATGATTATGAATCTCTTTTCATCTATTCTGAATTGATGCAAACATTTTTAGAGAAATAAATCAGTGTAAGTAGAACTTAAGTCGTGAAAGTCACGTGAATGTGATCATTACCGCAGTTTGAACCATCAGAACCCTGTCTTGTCTGAGTTTGGCCACAGTTTGAAAACAATTTATCCGCCCCGTGTCTTCAGCTTCTCTCATCACATTACGTAGAGCGATGAAGGTTCCAGTACGTCCTACACCAGCACTGTTTATTAGAGAAATAATCATGTGTAGAATTATTGGATGCATACGTTTTAATAAATACGATGTAATAATTTAAAGAATAAAAATATAACCTGCAGTGGACAACAATAGGCCTTGATGTACTCCCTAACGCCACCCTCTGTTCAAAGTCCACAAGTCCCCACGGTGTTAGAGGCACACCTTTGTCTGGCCACGATGTAAAGTGAAAATGGGTGAAATGATGCGCTGGTTGGTTTTTCTGTTCAAAGAAAACATGATATTTTTTTATTTTATGATTTTAAATATATATGTTTTATTACGCAAACACGATGTATACAATTATATAAACCGCAGAGAGGATGCACAGTTTTATGTCTCTCCATCTTTAAATCCCCACCTTCTTAAGCTCCAGATTGCGGATTGTGTAGTCGGCAAATACATGCATTGCTAGAAGTTCGACATCAACATCACCAAATGTAGCTTTGCCTTCTTCTGGCCAGTATTTCACAGCTTTCACCTGTGTGCAAATTCGCTAGTTCAACGACTTAAAGTTTAGCTAGATTTTTAAAAATGTTGTTTTCTTTTTTGAATTAAAAGCAAACAAATGAAAAAAAAATCCCTTTTGAAAAAACATACATTGAATATTATGAAATAAATTGAGTAGTGATTGAAATAAATAGTAAAACAAACGCTAAGGAGTTTTGTAAGAATAAACAATTTAACTTAATGAACAACAATAATTGTGTTGAATTTGAAAAAGCACTTACTGTTCCATCCTCAATCAGGTTTGTCAACATCACAACTTTATCAACTTTTTGTTCCCACAACATTCGAACGAAGTCGTTGATGATCACATCATTTGGGCCTATTCATATTTATCGAGTTACATCTTAAGATTACTAAGATGGTTTTAAGTAGTAGTAAAAAATACAATGTAGTGATGTTAAAAATTGGCAGCTTAAAAATTAGCTAATTGAAATATAAAAAAAAAACGATGGAGTAATATTTTAAAAAGTAGATACTTGTTTTAAAAATTATCGCATCATTATCAATTGTTATATTTTGCCTGCAAGGGTTTGAATGCTTACCCTGTGATGCTATAAATTTCTCCTCATTGTTATATCCCTTTAAAAAAAAGTTAAATGGATTTGTAAAACACTGGTGTACATTAAATTTGTAACTATATTTATCAATTCGTTTAGAAATTTTCAGACAACGTTTCTATATCGAACACCGATAATCATGTGATACTCGTCAGACATCAGTTGAGTAGCTAGACGGTGATTAATCATTGCAATGGTTTAGTTGTATTTTTTGTTAATTTGGGGATTTTTTATACTTCATATTTTTAAATTAATTCCTTATTGCTTATATTGACATCGATGAGCGCTAGATAGTTTAATCATGACTTCCTGGTGTATAGGAAAAAATGTTTAAAACCACTGGTTAACGATAAAGTAATTCAGCTTAGCTTATAACAGAACCGAGAAAAAACTACACTATCACAAATGAAACTATCCTTAGCTGCATATTTTACTTACCTCTATGTAGGAAGCATTTATATAGTCGCCCTCATTTTTAAGTGTGTTTATTTCAAGATGGACGCGAGAGTGGTCGTCTAAAACAAAATAAAAATATGTAAGTGATAATACATCATTACCTATAGTAACCTACAGACAGTAACCAACAAATATCATACATGCGCATATGTTTTTGTATCTATTCTTGTGTTTATTTTCTTCACTGAGGCCGGCAAGCATGGTCACATTTTCTGGCACTGGAAGTTTCTGGAAGCATGATTTAAACAGGAGTATTTAAAATGTAAATATGTATTTGCATACCATTAACACATGTAAAGTATATTCCTCTCTTAGAAGTAATAAGTGCTAACATAGATTTTGAACTATACACAACGAGTGTGACACGTTTAAACGATTTTATGTAGTCGTTAAACTGAATGTATCAACATGAAAACACCCACCCTATATTCATCAAGAAAGAACTCTCTACTGTGTGTCAGCATATACTCGTTGAGTTGAGACACCGGAATATCTCGGCTGTCTAAATCGACACTATCATTGCAGTAGGCGGCGATGACACCCACCGGTTTAGTGGTAACTAAGGAAAGATACAATGGTATAACAATTAGCCCACAGTGGTCCTTAAAATATGTTATAAAAATGTGCAAGTCGCTTACATCTCTTAAGTGTTTTATCACTTTTATCTATCAAAATTGCAAGTTTTATTACCTTGGTCAAAAGTTTTCAATTTATTTGCGTCGGATGTATCAGCGTCAGTATTGACGTCATCTGGTAAGGTTGGGTCAGCAGTTTCAGCATTTTTAGACTGCCTTAGCCTTGAAATAGATTGTAGTCATTTAACCAATTGTTATATCAGTTAACACAGACAAACACATAGAAAGATTCATAGACATAAAACAACATACGACAGATAACATTTGACTTTACAACAGAAGTTTCTCTATTTAAAAAAAAAACATAAAACACTATTGTAAAAACAACACACATAACCGAATTACAGTGTGTTTCAAATATACAAACGCCAGAAAAATCTTATTTTTTCAGCAAATATCTGTTTTACATTACAAGTTTTAATTTGTTCAGTTTACCTCCAAAATATGATTCCTCCTACTACAAGTAGGGCTATGATAATTACAACAACGATAGGAACTACTATAGCCATTAACGGTGGATTACTGTCAACTGAGGGCTCTATACCACCTGAAAAATAGAAGTAAATATCTAAAGTCTTACACAAATCAACATGAATCAATGATCATGTAGTATGGTGATGTTCTATGGTTGCTTACATTTATTCTGCAACTTCTAATTTAACTTCACCTTTTTATGTATTTTAAACACAAAAGTACATACTCAAAAATAACGAGCACTCTCTATCCGTCTGTGTATACCCTTTTCTACACCCCATGAGACACAGACCGTCTGTCTTATTGCACCACAATTCTGTTTCATTGACAATACACCATTTACTGCATGTAGACATGCAGTTCTTTCCGTAATATCCCGACGGGCATGCTGAAATGTAGTAGATCATTATAAACGTGGGGTTATAGAAAACATAGCACACGCGAGTCATGTGATACACAAAAAGCTTACACGTGTTACACAAGTCTCCCATATACCCAGGCTGACAACCATCCACACACGTCCCATTGTAGCCGAGACAATCGCCGGCTCCAGCACAGTTTTCTGAACATTTGTCTCGGCAGTCTATCCCGTAAGTCTGGTTTCTACATGCTGAAAATTCCAAACCAAGAAAAAAAAGACAAATTCATGCTATTGATTTATTAATAGTCTGTATCTAAAATCGTATGCTACAAAGAAGATAGAATTACTTTAATTAGTTAAATTAGCCATCGAATTGTTTAGACGTATCATATATGTAAAGTTTGGAAATTTCAAAATTACTACATGTGTTGCTAAGCTGAAATAACTTTGTAGTTTTTAGCTATCATTTAAACACGTAACATTTCTGGCTTTTTACACTAAGATATGTCTAGATTATACACTTCTATAGAAAGATAGTAAAGATAAGTAAATATTTATTTATAGTGAATTAGAATGACGCAAAGCAGTCAATTTACTTTGTAAAATTATCGCTTTAAAATGTCTATATTTTAAGCTTATGCTTATTATATAACATTTTGATTTTATTATAACACTATGAAATGTTATAATTTTATAACATTATGACTATTTTATAACATTATGTCTATTTCTCTATATTTTTTCTATGTTACAACCTTATGTCTATGATATAAAATTACTAAGTGTAATAATTTAAAACCGCCGTAAAGATTAATTTAATCGTAGAAGTATCTAATGCAATGTAGCCAAATATTGATTTAAAAAATCATGTTCACTAAATAATTTATAATTTCATGCAGTGCTTAAATCTTACGAGTGCATCTCTCTCCATATCTGCCAGGATCACATTTGTCACAAGTTCCATTCACATTGTCACATATACCACCAGAGCAGTAGTCACATACATCCTGACATTTTGGTCCGTAATGCGTTTTGTCGCAAACTGTTTCGAAAGAAAACAAAGTTACTTTTAAGTACAATACATTTTACCGTGAAATCAATGTCTGTCTTTGAAAAATATAAAATTTGTCATGTGTTCTAATATTGAAAATAATGTTTGTGTGTACCTCGATCGCAAAATTCCCCAGTGATTCCACTGTAACAACTCAGGCAGTGACCGCTTGTTTTGTTACACTTGTAGTCTGTGCAGTTTACTGAGCAGCTGTTCAAACATCTTGGTCCAAAGTGAAAGTCGTCACACGCTGTTTTAACAAGACAAATGTGTGCTGTTTTGGCGACACCGTTATATGCGCATGTATGTACTTAGAGTTCGCATGTACATGTAATTTCTAAATAACAGTGTTGTTATGTTATAAGGCATAAAAGAAATACTTTGAATATACATTTTTGAAAAGTAAGCAGACAAATTAACCCATATTATCCCAAGGTCTCAAATTTTTATAATTTCTTTATATGGTTTAGCTTTTGAGCACTGAATGAAGGAATGACTATGGATTTTTTTTTTAAATCATTACTTTTTTAAATATCGATTTTTTAAAAAACGTCCCATAAATGGGACGCTAGCAACGAACGGCCCCATGTACATTTATTGAAAAATAAAATAATTTTTCACGAAATATGGCTAATCACGCGAAAATTTAGCTGTGTACTGATTTTGTATTGTTAGACCAATGATTACATTGTTTAGGACAGCTAAAAATACCGATAATGATCAATTGGGTTAGCCATACCATGGTCTAAAATGCAGAAATTATGTTCAAAAGTCTAGTTTCCTTTCAATCTAGCATCCATCAAAGTGAACAACACTTGGAAATAAGTAAAGCTGTGACTAGTACATCTAATTATACACACATGATCACAAATATTTTTATTATTTATCCAAACTGTAACATAATTAAATATAAATAATTGATTTTTTTGGGGGGCGTACTTGAAATTTTCAGGGGTGGGGACTTAAATTTCAGGGGAAGGGTGGACATTGGTAAAAGTATGTTTTGTATATAAATTCCATTTTGTTCTGGGGGCAGAGCCCCCCCCCCCCTCCTCCGAAATGATGCCTGAAAGAAACTCTGCCCTAAGTGAATTTGCAAAAGATGATCCGGTCCAGTCCCAGATGTCATCCAGCCATCTTCTCTTTTGTTACCCTCGCTATTCCCCCCCCTCCTCACAGGCGTACATTAGGACATCAGACATCTTATTTCTAGGGCACGGATCCGTCTCTGGGGGCTTGTATTGAGTGTTCATGGCTCGCATCCATGTATGCACCTCACTATGCGAACAGCCCCCAAAGTAACACCAAGAATCTCCTTAAAAAGTTAACAAAGTAAAGCTGGTATCGGTAACCTTTGGAGGGGGATATTATTGGGGCATGACAACTGTACACAGCTAATTCACATTTCTGCTATATGTAGCTTAAGCTCTCTTATATGAAGAGAGTTAACCAACCCCCATGACTGAATCATTTCACCTAAATCGTGGCCATTGTTATTATTCTGGTTTGTTATAATTTTAATATCACGCGCTAGTAAATTTACAGCAATACTAACTTAGTTTGTATCCAATGGTATTAAATACTTCAGTAAGTGTAATTCTGAAAACTTAAAAATAAAATGTAAGTTTTTCAATATTTGCAATTGTTTAATACAATAATATATAAGAAAATATAGCTCAAGGTCATAATTAAATATCTATAAATACTATTTAACACCCCAAAGTCAACAGTTAACAAAGTCAACAATTGTTTCACCATAAATAACCATTTAACATAAATATTTGCATCTGTGTTTTTCGCTAGTGTCCAATAAATGTGACGTTTGTGTAACAATCTGCATAAATATAGGTCAAGGTGATAATTAAATATCTATAAATACTACTTAACACCCCAAAGTCAGCAGTTAACAAAGTCAACAATTGTTTCACCATAAAAAACCATTTAACATAAACATTTGCATCTGTGTTTCTCGCTAGTGTCCAATAAATGTGACGTTTGTGTAACAATCTACATGGGGCCGTTCGTTGCTAGCGTCCCACTTATGGGACGCTTGTTGTACCCTTGATATAACGAAGTAATAAAAAAAAATTATTCTTAAATTTTTATTAGATAGAAATATGGTACAGCTACAAGTTTCAAATGTATTTTGCACTTAAAATGTTAATATTTTAGAAGATATGCATTTTCCTTTGCGCATGTTTTCTTTTTTCCGCCATTTTGACAAGTCTTGCAAATCCGGCACTATAACATTTTTCTAAATTAATTTTTTCACAAAACACACACAAATTCAATAGTCTAGCCATTTTCAAATACAATGAAACATAATTTGTGTTTTAACTAGTTTTTAATAAATTTTAGCAATTTTTTTTACAAGCGTCCCATAAGTGGGACGCTAGCAGAATATGGGTTAAATATATTTGAGTAAAAAAATGCTTACTTTCATTACAAAATGCTCCTTTATTTCCTGAAGGACACTCTTTACATGAGCCGATAAAACTATCACAAAGTTGTCCTACACAGTTAGTACTGCACTTGTTTGTACAGTTGGCTCCATAGAATGTATCGCTGCATGCTGTATAGATAAATAATAAAAAAATAAAACATAAAACATACTTAATTGAATTTATATAGAGACCTAAATATAGATATGTATATATATATATATATATATATATATATATATATATATATATATATATATATATATATATATATATATATGTATGCATATATGTCTGCAAGTGTCTATGTGTGTAATAATAGCAATGTAAACAGAAAGTGTTATTTCAACGCCAAGGGTGGACAAAGGTACAGAATATAGTCCAAGTTAAGACAGAACAGACAGACCCGACGGGTTCCGAACCTACCACTCCTCACGGCACCGAATCGCTTCGCCTTCCATGCATCAAGTCAGACGTGCAACCGATTCTGCCAATCAGAATCACAACGCCTGCTTCCACCCCTCACCATGTTTACACTATACCCATTTAAGGAAGCTACTATTTGTCTGTATCGTCGTCCCTATACTTGTGTCGCCTGTGTGGTCGAATAATGGTCCTTGTTGTGTTTGAAGCTAACGGTCAGTCCCATTCGCGGTTCAAAGGTCACGCCAGCCCGCGTCTTTCGTGCATAGGTTGTGATTGTGCTCTGCCATGAAAGCTTTATTTTTGTAGAGCTGATTGGCAGAATCGGTTACACGTCTGACTTGATGCATGGAAGGCGAGGCGATTCGGTGCCGTGAGGAGTGGTAGGTTCGGAACCCGTCTGGTCTGTCTGTTCTGTCTTAACTTGGACTATATTCTGTACCTTTGTCTACCCTTGGCGTTGAAATAACACTTTCTGTTTACATTGCTATTTCAGTCACAACGCCTGCTTCCACCCCTCACCATGTTTACACTATACCCATTTAAGGAAGCTACTATTTGTCTGTATCGTCGTCCCTATACCTGTGTCGCCTGTGTGGTCGAATAATGGTCCTTTGTGTGTTTGAGGCTAACGGTAAGTCCCATTCGCGGTTCAAAGGTCACGCCAGCCCGCGTCTTTCGTGCATAGGCTGTGATTGTGCTCTGCCATGAAAGCTTTATTTTTGTAGAGTTGATTGGCAGAATCGGTTACACGTCTGACTTGATGCATGGAAGGCGAGGCGATTCGGTGCCGTGAGGAGTGGTAGGTTCGGAACCCGTCGGGTCTGTCTGTTCTGTCTTAACTTGGACTATATTCTGTACCTTTGTCTACCCTTGGCGTTGAAATAACACTTTCTGTTTACATTGCTATTTCAGTCACAACGCCTGCTTCCACCCCTCACCATGTGTGTAATAATGTAAACCAGTTTTTAATTATATTGAAAAAATCTAATAAGCAGTCTAAAATTAATTAAGTTCTATATATTACGTATACAACCGTGTTTATATAGCTTTAACGCGACACAGATACTGCGCTTGAGTTGAATGGCTATAGTCTCATACGGTTTAATTGGAGATGTATCTTAAAGGTTCTAATTAAAACATTATATCCTAAGATAAACTTACGGAACTGACAGTGATTGCCGAACCATCCCATGTCACAAGTCACACCGTTTATACAATCACCACTTGTGTTGCAGTAGTTGTTAGCACAGTGGCACTGGTACATGCAATTAGAACCAAACCATCCAGCATCGCATTCTAGATTAGAAACAAGCCGACGCTTTTAAACACATTGTCTCTTCTTTTTCATATACAATGTAGGTTATACATGTTATGATATGATAATCTATGTATTATTTAAATTTTAAATACATGTTTTTTTATATTTTATTTTTTATTTTAGTTTATTGTTTTTGTTTTTTCCGCGTTTGTATGTTAGGAGAATTGTATTAAGCCTCATAAAAGAAACCTGTACCTTTAGAACAGCCCTCTCCATGATAGCCTTCAGCACAACCTGAAGCACATCCACCTGTTGCCACAAAACATGTCTCTTGCCCATTATAGCAGTTACACGTGTTGTTACATTCTAATCCGTAGGTTTTACCAACACACTGGTTGTCTGGAAAAATATGACTAGCATTAATAAATTGTATTGAAAATAGAACTAATTGAAATAGAAATAGCTTGCCTTTTGCCCTTTGCAACGATCTCCAAAGTAAGAAAATCAGAGAAAAATTGTTAAGACAACATTTAATTCTAATCATCGTTGACATATTTTTTTCTCACTTATCTGTGTTGTAATTTGATGCAGTAGTTACGAAAGAGCCTGGCACTAGAAAATAAAATAGCACATATTAGCGCACTAAATCAAACATTATTTTTTAATAATTATAAAGATTCGAGCGCCCTGTTATAGATGATGAACCATATATATATATATATATATATATATATATATATATATATATATATATATATATATATATATATATATATCGATGGTCTCGGTCGCAAACCGCGTTACTCCGAAAATGTAAATTTTACAGGAGAGACAAAAAACAGATTTTATCATTGTTGATCGCTCTAAAACAAATTGTTTTTAATAATAGGTGCGAAGAAACTCTCTACCGACTATACTGTAGCGTTTTAAAATGAGTTTTGTTAATATTTACAAAATTATAGCAGGTTTTAAAAGATAGACGGTTTGCTCGGTTTAAAATTCTCGGTGCAAACCGTCTATCTGTGCGCGCGCAGACTTAGCTGTTTTGAACCGAGAATGTCGGTCTCAGCCGCGTTCGTTCGTTTTGTCAAATGAAAGTGATTTAGTTATGTTTATGTTTTTTTAGTTATAATTAACACTTCATAATATTTAGATTATAGTTTTGGGCTCGTATTTTAATTATTTGAGTTTTTTCTACTTTATGGGGTCAGTTTAATTTAGTAGAGATGTTTTAGTATGGCTTTATCGCTTTCGACTGTTTATTCATTATGGCTGTATTTAGCACTAAACTTGTTAACTGTTGAAGGTTATGCTCTATGTATTACATCTTTCTACTCTCACAGTTTATTTTACTAAATCTGGTGGGTGGTGGGTTTATTGAATGTTAATAGTAAAAATACAAAGCTTATTGTCAGATATATTAAGAATGAGACATAACACATTAATCACATTAATTATGACTTAATGTTTACTTATTTTACAAAATGTAACAAAAAAAATGTGTTTATTTTTAAAATTTATTCTTTGAATAAACGTCACATGAAGAAATATTAAAATGGCAACATATTTTTAAAATCTGGCAAATCAGCACAAAATTTGAATTGATGACTTGCTTTTAGGTGCTCATATATGACATCATTTATCTTTTTTTCTGCTTTTGTTCATCTTGTCAGGGGCTGCATATGAGATCATAATCTTACGACCCTAGCTTAGCAATTGCCAACTATCTGCTAATTCAATTTGAAGTAGATAGTAGCATCATGGTTGTACTGTAATGCATGAATATTTGTCGCATTGAATTCTTGATAGGTCTGACTGGTCTTTTGAGAGCGGCTGGTCTCTTGTATGGTAAGAAAGGTCTTTTTGAGAGAGGCTGGTGTCTATTGTCTGTTATGTGAGGCTGGTCTATTGTATGTTACGACTGGTCTGTTGAGAAGGGCTGGTGTCTTGTATGGTCAGAATGGTGTGTTGAGAGAGGCTTGTCTATTGTAGGATAGGACTGATCTTTTGAGAGAGGCTGGTTTCTTGTATGGTAAGAATGGTCTGTTGAGAGAGGCTGGTCTGTTGAGAGAGGCTGGTGTCTTGGAGGGTAAGATTGGTCAGTTGAGAGAGATTGGTCTTTGTATATTACGACTGGTCTGCTGAGAGAGACTGGTCTCTTGTATGGTAAGAATGGTCTGTTGAGTTACTTGTGTCTTAAAGGAGTAAACTAGTTTGTTGAGATATTCTGCTGTCCTGTATGGTAAGATTGGTCATTTAAGAGAGTTTGGTCTTTTGAATGTTACGACGGGTCTGTTGTGAAAGGCTGGTCTGTTGAGAGATGCTGATGTCTTGTATGGTAAGACTGGTCTGTTCAGAGAGGCTGATCTGTTTAGAGAGGCTGGTATGTTGTGAGAGGCTGGTCTGTTGAGAGAGGCTGATCTGTTGAGAAAGGCTGATATATTGGAGTAGCTGGTGCGTCAAGAGAGGCTGTTCTGTTGAGAGAGGCTGGTCTGTTGAGAGAGGCTGGTCTGTTGAGAGAGGCTGTTCTGTTGAGAGAATCTGGTCTGTTGAGAGAGGCTGGTCTGTTGAGAGAATCTGGTCTGTTGAGAGAGGCTGGTCTGTTGTGAGAGGCTGGTCTGTTGAGAGAGGCTGGTCTGTTGAGAGAATCTGGACTGTTGACAGAGGCTGGTCTGTTGAGAGAGGCTGGTATGTTGAGAGAGGCTGGTGTGTTGAGAGAATCTTGTCTGTTGAGAGAGGCTGGTCTGTTGAGAGAGGCTGGTCTGTTGAGAGAATCTGGTCTGTTGAGAGAGGCTGGTCTGTTGAGAGAGGCTGGTATGTCTAAGATAGTCTTGTATGTTGAGAGGTTGGTATATTGAGATATGCTGATCTGTCTAGAGAGGCTGGTCTGTTATGTGGTAAGACTGGTCTGTTGAGAGATAGGTGTGTTGAGATAGGCTTGTCTGTTGAAAAATTAATCATAAAAGCATTTACCAACGAAAACTAACCATGTCGTTGAACATGTACGCCAAATATGTTGTAACCTACCATATAAAAATTTCTTAACACGTAGCTAAACCCTCAATCTAAAACTAGTAATTAATTCACAATAATTAAATTTACTGCACAATCTTGTGGAAATATAATTCGAATAATATTGTTTTGATTGATATTTAGATTCTAGAATGAATATCTAGTTTCAGAGCATTGTATTAGCCTAAATAATTGTAAACAAATCAGTTTGGTTATTGAAAATATGGAAAAAGGCTATATTAAACAAATACTATTTTTTGTTTATTATTCTTTAAAATGATAAAATGTAATAGAGTAGCTGAACATAATTAATCAAATATCTTTACCCTTTAAGTACTGTGATTGCTGTGCTGTAAAATTGTGTGATTGCGGCGTGCTACTGCGTTCCCGTTCAAAAGTGTACTGACAAATATTGCGATGTTCGTTTTGCGCCGAGAATTTTAGCGATTGAAATAATAGGCGTTTTGTTCAAGTTATTACATATCGATAATAATTCTACAGATTTCTCTAATATTTTCATGCATTATGGGGAATATTACTTGTTTTTGGTTCATGTAAAAAAATGAAAATCGAATTTTTTAGTTAGAGCATCGATATATATATATATATATATATATATATATATAAATATATATATATTTCAATATATATATATATATTTCAATATATATTTCAATATATATTTCAATATATATATATATATATATATATATATATATATATATATATATATATATTTCAATATATATTTCAATATATATATATATATATGTATGTATATATATATTATATATATATATATATATATATATATATATATATATATATATATATATATATATATATATATATATATATATATATAATTATATACATATTAACATTTGTAAATATATTTTGTGCTCATTAAAGTGAATAAAAATGTATAATTTGATATCAGCACTTACCACCATAAATCTCTACCTCACACAGAGTTAGAAAGTTCGACACACTAATCTGTGTGTATGACGGTTCAATCTCATTTGTGCTTGACAAGTCGTACATGTTCTTGTACTTGTCAGGTGTATCGTTGTGACTAAACAATGTTTCATTGTTTCTCCCGATTGTAATCAGCTTAAAACCAGCAAGTCTATCCTGATTATTTTCTGCAAAATTAATATAAAATCCGAAATGCATTTTTAAAATTTTAAATAATTATATTCAATTCCAATTTTGGTTGTGTTCAAATTAGACCGTTAGTAAGCAATTTGTTTGTATCACTGTATCGCTAACATTATCTAATATTTTAAAATAAATTCTACTAATTTCCTCCATTTATAGACTTTGAAATATTTACAAAATAAACGTACATTTTAAGTTTGTCAAGCTATTTTATATAGGTAAATATGCATGTTTCTTTGCTGATAAACATTGTTTTGGTTTTACCTCTGTTGTAAAGAACGTATCTGTTGATGATAAGTGGAGTAGTAAAGAAAACTTTCCAATAAGCGGGACTCTCGTTTTGTGTATGTGTACACGAATTTTGAGTGAACAAGCCACTCGTACCATCGACAGCTTTAGATGAATCGAATACAACTCCATTTTCGGTATAATTACTTGATTGCCATGTTGGTTGCATCAAAGCTACATTTCGGCCTAACAGAAAGTGAGACGTTATTACAAGTGCAAAACAACACTTGAAGTTTTGATGAAAGTTGTAGCATCATCACGTTAAAGCTTCATTGAACTTAAGCAGCGTGTAAAATAAAATATGCTACAATAGTAACTTTATGATTTAAATTAACCATTTAATACGAAATGTAAGTTTGTATAGGTAAAAAGGTTTACAGATGATTATACGAATCCATTGCATTTGAATATTATAAATTCTTACCCCCACTGATGTAAATAGAGCAAACATATTTGGTCGAATTAAACTGGAATGTGACTTGTGTAGCTCTAAAATTGTCTTTGCACAAAACGTCTGTTACTGTATCACTAACTTTAAACTTAGTCAAATTGGAACATGGTATATTGGCTTGATCGCTGTCTTGAAGCTGTAGATTCAAATCACCAAGGCACTCTAATGTAGATAACAACAAAAGTACAGTCAATTTATTAAACAATGCTAGTAATACATTTAGCAAAATAAATAAAAGCAAAGTCGTAAAACACTGCAATTTCAAGCATGGATGAAAGGGGCAATTCGAAAAAATGATATTTTGTTATTTTTAAAAATTGAAAATCAAACATCGGAAATTATAAAATAACAATGTACTTAATTTTAATATACGCCTACACATGCTAACGGCTATGGTGCTATAGAAATCTTCTGATATTTTACATTAATATTTAAAAATTGTTAACAGTATTTGCATTATTGCAGCTTTTTAAATACATTTATATTGAAGACTTGCCTGTTTCTGCTAAAACAATCCTAAACCAAGTCAGTTGGTACGTATTATTCCATTTAAATTCAACTTTCTGAACACTCGAATACGTTGTGTCATTAGCATCGACTATTTTTGTATCACTTGGTATGATAGTTGATGCATTTTGAGCTAGATCCCCTGACAGTAAGCACATTTGAATACGTTAAAATACAAGTATTTAAAGGAAAGCGGTTGATATAACTTCTAAGTAAGTTTTTTTACCTTAGTAATGTTTAGCAGCAGAGATTTACGTTAAGATGTAAACTAGCGGTAAATTCCATGTTTGCTAATTATTTAAACAATCACACGTTCATTACACACGTTTAAAAAGAGAAACATCACTTGATTCAGATGGATGAGAGACAGAAAACACATAAACATCGACTGACGAAAAAGCACCCATATTTATATTATCGTCGTATACCTTGCTTCATGTTATGCAGCCGGCACACTTGAAAGAGAGAGAGAGAGAGAGAGAGAGAGAGAGAGAGAGAGAGAGAGAGAGAGAGAGAGAGAGAGAGAGAGAGAGAGAGAGAGAGAGAGAGAGAGAGAAATGGAAAGAAAGAAAGCACACACACACCCATTCACTCACAAACACATACAAAAAATACACGCTAGTACTTACAATACTGACATAGGGGACCAAACCAACCCGCCAGACAGTTTGTGCCAGCTTGACACCGTGCACTGTCACTACAGTCCTTGCAATGGCATTTGAACTGACAGTTGGAGCCAAACCATCCAGTGTGACATGCTGCAATGAATCCTTAATATTATTTTCATTGATTTCTTAAAACTTTTATGTTTAGGAAATCATGAAAGCTTTAAGTACTAAATACTGTCGATTAAATAAGTAAACTGTAGTTTTAAAAACAGAATTATGTTGTATTAAACATGATAATCATTACCTGAGCAGAATACTATTTGAAGCAAACTGATCCATACAAGATACTTGCTACATGCCATTGATTATATCCTAGATAAAAGCAAATTACATATAATATGTAATGGTAGTCTGTAAATTTTAAATCAGCAACAATAACTCTCCTAATTTACGAAGGATATAATCGTTGACTTTGACTTTTATATTTTAATCAACAAATCATCATAACAGTTCACAAATCAACCTTTTAGTTTATTTATAAATGTTCTCGTTTTTAATATCCCGAATAAGCACTAATATAACTCTCAATACATTGCGATAGTAACCTTTCTTGTGAACACACGCTAGTAGCTACTTTAAATAGCTTGAATATGACTACTATTTGAAAACAGAATTTTATTACCATCTCGCTGTAAAAACAAACCAAACACATTTCTTACAAAACGGACACGCCGACCTGCCTGGAATTACAAGCAATATGTTGCACACCCTTTACTGGATTATTATTTTTAGCCTGAAAAAGCTTTTTTTTAAATAAATTTTTGGTGGTATTTTAAGTATTCTTGAAAATATATTTAAAACATAAGTATAACTAGACATTATTTTGTATCTAATTGTATAACGTTACTAAGCTAAGTTCGCACTATAGTTGTTAAAGAGGGGCAAGTGACGCGTGAAATGAGCTGTTTCTTGCAGAGGCGTAGCCAGAGTTTCTTCCAGGCATCTCTTCGGAGGGGGCGAAGCCCCCCCGAAAATTTTTTACCGCCCCCCGAACGAAATGAAATTTATAGAATTTATATAGAAAATATATACTTTTAACAGTGTCCGCCCCCCGAAGAAAGTTTACCGCCCCCCCCCCCCCCCCGAAGATTTCAAGTGCCCCCCCGGAGAAAAAAGTCTGGAAGAAACACTGGGCGTATCGCGGGGGTGGGGGGAGGGGGGACATATATCCCCGGGCGCCGACTTTAGGGGGGGGGGGGCGCCAAAATGGGTAGGAAACACAAATTGAAAGTTTGAGAGGGGGTGTAAATCAAAAGTTCGAGGGGGGATGCAAATCGAAAGTTTGTCCCCTGGCGTCGGGAAGGGTCGCTACGCCTCACAGTTAATTTTAATTATATCAGACTTGCGATGTCAACAATCTCCGAAATAAGCCAACCAGAGCTCCATTAAGCCACCGATTGCTGATAACCATGTCTTTTATTAGCGACACAGTCAGCCATTTGGAGTAACCTGCTGTTCTTGAGAAGGTAATCCTTAATTAACTTGGCACTGAACCTTCAATACAGCTCCTGCTGTCACGATGCCCTTTTGCTTAATTGACGAGGTTTTACGTTGATGATTAAACACAAGTTGAACGGTGCATATCACATGAAGACAAAGAATATAGGTCTGAAAGTTCAAGCCTTTTAAGTAACAATTGAACCTAGAATGGTAAACCTGGGATCCCAAAGCTATAAAATAATATTTAATTCATATTTTACATTTTACTTAAAGTGAAATATTAATTGTTACTAGACTACCCGTTATCTAGTTAGATAACTGTGGGTTTTGGGGGTCATCCATAAATGACATCACATCTGTCACCACTTTATCATCCCAAAACAACCAGACCCCACATTCAAAAAGAGGTTTTTAATATTTAAAAAACTCTACTAAACTCTACTTCACCTGCCCAGTGTCCCGCCAAGTCTCAGACATGTTTGAATTTAAAAAAAAAACGATTCCGGCCGAGCATGGCTCTGACGACACTATCCCTTCATATGCTGAGAATATAGAAACAGTTGAACTCTATTTCACCTATCCTGTGCCCCGCGAGGTCCTGATAGTCAACCTAATCATTCACTTACAGGCCTTAAAACATTAATAAAAAACATTGATATAAATTGTAAGTAAATTCTAGTACTATTACTTAATTCAGTGTTCTAAACTTTTGTAATTAATGTGGTTAATCTATCTATGAATATATCAATAAATTAATTAACGGCTTTAAATTATTTCGTAATTAACAGTGTGTTAAGAAGGAACAATATTTACCACACAAAAGCCTATTTTACAGCTCTACACATAATGCAGATTCTCCCCAATAACAAATTAGAAAAACAAATAAACAAAAAAATTGAGTTATCAAACGTCACTATTCAGTCAAAGTTAAGCCATTGTTCTAAAACTTTAATTTTAAAGTGGTTAATCTACCTATGAATAAATCAATAAATTAATTAACGTCTTTAAATAAATGTGTGATTAACAGTCTGTCTGCAATAAAAAATTATTCTCTACCTACATACTATTTTACAGCTCTCCACATAAAGTAGAACCATTTACAATAGTCAATCAGACAAATAAATATTCATGTAAACAAACGTGAGTTTTAGTAGTATACTAGAATACCCGTCATCCGTTGGATAACTGTGGGTTTCGGGGGTCATCCATCAAAAAACATCACGTCTGTCACTCAGAGGCATAGCGAGCCTTCCCGGCGCCCGGGGACAAACTTTTCGATTTTAACCCCCCCCCCCAAGATTTCGATTTTCAACCCCCCCCCCCCCTCCCTCAAACTTTTGATGTGCACCCCCCACCCACTCAAACTTTCGATTTGAACCCACCTCAACCTTTCAATTTATTTTTCCAAACCATTTTGGCGCCCCAACATATGTCCCCCCCGCCCACCCCTCCACCTCCCCCCGCCTCCCCTCCCGCCCCCCCTCCTCGCAGTGTCACTTATCGTCACAAAAAACAGACCCCACATTCAA